TTGCCCAGCGATCCTAAATTCTATAAGAATATGGAATGCAACAGCCCACAAATTTAAATTAATATCCAACCCATCATCGTTGATTCCTCTGCTGAGAAATAGAGCCTTCCCCCCGGGAATGTTAGCAAGACACTTTGCCAACCTAGAAAAAGCGGGACTGCAGAGGATATGCCACATGTATAGGAACAACACGCTAGTCACATTTGATGATCTACAACAGACAACACACCTCACCCCAGCTGACTTCTTCAGATTCCTACAACGCAAAGATTACATGAACAATTCACACCTAAAACATGCAGCAACAGGGCACTTGTCCTTCCTGGAAAGAATGTGCCTCCAAGAAAAAACACAGACAGGTCTGATCTCAAAACTATATGCTCACATAAGCTTAGAAACAAAGGAATGGGGCACACTCACATATACTGAAATATGGGAGAGAGAGCTGGGGGAGGAACTCAGGGGAGCAGACTGGAGGGAAATATGGGAGGCCAACACCTCTGTATCCATATGTGTGTCTCTCCAAGAACAGGCAGTTAAGACACTCCTTTGGTGGTATACTACGCCAGTAAAATTGTGTCAAATGGGGAAAACCCCAACAGATGACTGCTGGAGGGGATGCGGCCTGAAAGGCACATACCTCCACATGTGGTGGGAGTGCCCCAAGGTACGAGGCTTCAGGAAGGAAACCCAATCTCTGATATCGCAAATATTCCATGAAGCACCGGCCTTAAACCCATGGACATACCTTCTCAATAGACCCCTGGATAACTGGACAAAACGAGAGCAAAAACTTATACACAAGGTGACCTAGACGGCAAGGAGAGCATTAGCTCAAACGTGGTTAGGGGCAGAAACGCCCCCACAGAGCACAGTTAAATCGAACATAAAAGACATATACCTCATGGATAGCCTGACGGCTAAAGTCCGTGGATCTACGTCAACATTCGAGAAAATGTGGGAACCATGGACCTCCAGTGACCTGGCCTAAGACACAAGCACAGACAGGTTAGGTCCAGCGCAGTTACCCACCCCCAGACCAGCAGACCCCTGACGGGCCCCCTGGGGAAAGAGACAGTATAACACAAGCCGACTGATACCAACACCCTCTACCCTGATGAACTTACCCTACTACCTATACCTCTCTCTTATTCTATCCTATATCTCAATTCATATCTTTTTCTGGTTATTGGGACTGGGAAGAGTTCCACAGTTGAATGTTATGTTGTATAAACGTTATATAAAGAAAAAAGAAAGCATATTGACATACCGGAATGCCGACCTATTCATAAAGCAAAAACCAAACAAAGACTGAACACTGTGTATTATGAACAACTTTACACAATATTGGCACTGTTTACTGTATGCTATGCAAAATGTCAAATGCTTTTCTCAAAAATAAAGTATTCAAAAAAGAAAAAGTCAGAATTGTCTGGAATTCAAAGTGAATTGCAAACTTATAGCCAAAACATAGAAACATAGAATGTGACGGTAGATAAGAACCATTCGGCCCATCTAGTCTGCCCAATTTTCTAAATACTTTCATTAGTCCCTAGCCTTATCTTATAGTTAGGATAGCCTTATGCCTATCCCACGCATGCTTAAACTCCTTTACTGTGTTAACCTCTACCACTTCAGCTGGAAGGTTATTCCATGCATCCACTACCCTCTCAGTAAAGTAACACTTCCTGATATTATTTTTAAACATTTGTCCCTCTAATTTAAGACTATGTCCTCTTGTTGTGATAGTTTTTCTTCTTAAATATAGTCTCCTCCTTTACTGTGTTGATTCCCTCTATATATTTAAATGTTTCTATCATATCCCCCCGTCTCGTCTTTCCTTCAAGCTATACATGTTAAGATCCTTTAACCTTTCCTGGTAAGTTTTATCCCGCAATCCGTGAACCAGTTTAGTAGCCCTCCTCTGAACCCTCTCTAACGTATCAATATCCTTCTGAAGATGCAGTCTTCAGTACTGTGTACTTCCCTCTTTCTACTGCTAATACCTCTCCCTATACAACCAAGCATTCTGCTAGCATTTCCTGCTGCTCTATTACATTGTCTGCCTACCTTTAAGTCATCAGAAATAATCACCCCTAAATCCCTTTCCTCATATGTTGAGGTTAGGACTCTATCAAATATTCTGTATTCTGCCCTTGGGTTTTTACGTCCAAGATGCATTATCTTGCACTTATCCACATTAAATGTCAGTTGTCACAATTCTGACCATTTTTCTAGTTTACCTAAATCATTTGCCATTTGGCTTATCCCTTCTGGAACATCAACCCTGTTACATATCTTAGTATCATCAGCAAAAAGACATACCTTACCATCAAGACCTTCTGCAATATCACTAATAAAAAATATTAAAGAGAATGGGTCCAAGTACAGATCCCTGAGGTACCCTACTGGTGACAAGTCCAAGCTTCGAATATATTCCATTAAAGGAACAGGTGTGGCAACATAAAACAAACATTTAAAGGAATCCAAGAGACTGGGAATTTCAGGAACGGAATACAGGAATGAACCCAGAAAACCCAGCATAAAGAAAATCAGACACAGAAAAGAAAACCAGAAAAACTAAACAAGAATTCTAAAAAGAGTACTGGATACCAGAAGCCAAGGCCAGACATCTCCGCAGAACAGAGCAGGATGTGACACTATGAGTGTCAAATAAATCTTCAATTTTGTATTTTTTTTTTTTTAATTTGGCATAGATTGGTGGTAAAATGGTTGCATGAAAAGAGTCAAAATACCCCAAGTTTATCAACTTAGGTTGTCTTCTTTTAAAAAATATATACATGTGAAGGGTTATTAATGGATTCCTGACAGATATCAGTTTTATAATGTAACTTGCGTTAATTTTGAGGGAAAAACAGTGCTACTTGTACTTATTGCCCAATAACTTTCCAAAGAAGCTAACATTGGGTATTTCTAAACTCTAAAACTATTTCACATGGGTGTTTTTTGGCAGTTGTAGATGCGTAACAGATTTTGGGGGTCAAAGTTCGAAAAAGTGTGTTTTTTTTGTTTGTTTTTTTCATTGTATTTTATAATTTTTTTTATAGTAAATTATATGAAATTATGAAAATATGGGTGTCTTTAGAAAGAACATTTAATGGCGAGAAAAACGGTATATAATATGTGTAGGAACAGTAAATGAGTAAGGGGAAAATTACAGCTAAACACAAGCACCGCAGAAATGTAAAAAGAGCCCTGGTCCTTAACGGTAAGAAAATTGAATTGAATTCCAAACTATTCACAATGTCTGTCTGAGATTCAGTTAGGCAATACAATTTTGTGATTAAATGCAATTATTTAGAAATATACATATATAATAAAGAAAGTTGAATGCACTGTTATTATATAGTTTTTAAAAATAGCCAGATTATATATTAACCCCTTAAGAACACATGACATGTGTGACATGTCATGATTCCCTTTTATTCCAGAAGTTTGGTCCTTAAGGGGTTAAAGGGAAACTGTTATTGGAAATTACACAACTGAATAAATCATTGAACCATGCCTACTAATCTGTCATTACTTTTTTTCATGAGATATTCTATTTTCTTTTTAAATTTATATTAAAGATTAGGCAAATGATAATGCATTCCAGCTTAGTCCAGGCACAGCCATTGCACACATTATTTAAAGCTGTACTAATGTCACCCAACCAGCTACATCTCAGTAAGGTGGTCTGGGTGCAGTGGCCCTGTCCTTTTAACCCTGCAATGTAAAACACTTCAGTTCACGTTGCAAGGTTAAATTCACCTCTAGTGGCTTTCTTCCCAAGTAAAGGTTCATAGTAAAAGTTGTCAATGCATGTGCATCAGATCCACAATTTTCCTCTTCGAGAAGCAATAGATTGGACCATTGCCAGAGGAGGCCATGCCTCCTCATTGATGTCAACGGAAGTGAAAAAGGTGATTAACAAAATTCATTTTATTTGAATAAAGGGGAGGAGGAACCTGTATCAAACAAGGGACAAGGGCACTATGGTGTTCCTTTAATAGATGGAGGTGCCCAGGTGTGTATTTCTACATATCATTTTATTTTTAACACCTCACAAATACATATTTGTTCAATACAGGGATAAGTAAACATAATATTAAAAATTCTGGTAAGTTTTTCATGGTAAATGTATAGGAACAACCAACTCATATATACGATACAATGATTGTAAATAGTAAAAAATTTCAAAATCATTCTGTTCGGTTACATTGAATATGTTTATAGAACACTTTTTAAGTTAAAATTTCTGTGGCCTCAGGTCACATTGTTTGGAAATTTTTCCGAATGATGAAAAATGCCTCAACCATAATGCAATTGACGTTGGTTGAAATCCAGCCTGTAATAGAACTTTTAAAACTGAACTTTTTGCAACACTCATATTTCTTAACATAAAACCTCTCTTTGTATCCTACGCTGATGATAATATATTTGGCTTGTAGGCGGCCTACAATGTATTTACTGCTGGGAAATCTAATCTTTCCTAGGAATATTTTTTTTTTTTAATAGTAACTAAAAGCTGCCCTTTTCCATACACAGGCCTCTATAGTTATACAAATTCTGACAGTGATGTATTCAAGTATCGGACGATCATTTCTGTGAAATCCAAACTGCCGCTTCTTAAAGCAAAAGTTGTCCCTTTCCATTGGCCTTGGCAGGCATCATTAGTTCAAGCACTTTCACAGTGATGCTTTCAGTATCAACTGCTGCGTATTCAAGTGTCCTGGGATTTAGATTTCCAATACAGGAACTGGCAACCTAATGCAGCACAAGCTTTGCTGTGGCTCAGCCTTTTCTCTCCCCCCTTTGATTGCCCTGTGAAGCTATTCAATGCTTGAGGTGGGGGGAGGGAGGAAAGTAGTGACAGATGACTGGCAAAGTCTGACTTAGAAAATACCCAGAAACACTATACTCCTTCTTACAGAGCAATAGCTTCCTACACTTCCAGGACTGGGAAAATATGTGCTGGATTTAGAAGCTGCTAAGAGTCAGTGAAAGGCTGCTGCTTCCTTCAGTTTGTATTGAGCTTAGAAGTTGGAAGCAGCAGGAGGCGGAGGAGAGCTTCACCTATATAAATAAATAACTAATCTGTGACATAACAAGTCCTGATGGCAGAGGATTGGATCAGAATGAGGAGCAGCCTACACAGTGCCCCCGGCTCCTGGAAGCTCTACACTGCTCTATAAAGCAAGGCTGTACGCACATGCAAAACTTCAGCACCCATTGCAGCCCAGTATGGGAAACGATGCTGGTGTATTATAGAGGATGACGGAGGAAAGGCCAAGAGTCCTGTGATCGCACTTCAGAATCATACCCAGCGAAATCCACTGTGCATTCTCTATAACGACACAGCGAGGACGCAGAATATACTTTGGATGGGAATACCTAAATCGTAGATAAGTTGGCTCTTGTTCCAGCTGCAACTCATTGAATGAAGAAAGGGGCCCGAGAAGGGAGGAGAAGATTTCTGGCTACTTAGTGAACTGAGATGCTGTTACCTGCTGAAAGCTGAACTTACGTTACATGACACCGAAACCAATTGGCTTGGAGTAACCCTTATTGGACCAGTGCTGCTCCTAATTTTTCTGCTGCTGAACAATTACTGTAGTTTTGCTAGAACAACTATTCTCGGTCAGAAACAGTATTTTCCCTCTCATACCTCATTTGAACTCTTCTTGGGACGGTGTTAGGTGTGTATTAAATGCTTCTGTACCAAGGTACGAGCTCCTGCTAGTGTCTCACTGGCCCCAATCAAACCTTGACTTGGCCATTGCTGCTACTGTTCTGCTTTTCTGATTCAAGACTTGTTTCCCCACTGCAGGTTAATCCTAATTGGACAGTAATGACTGCCTTTATTTATTGCTGAATCCTAACTTCCTGACCTTATACGTAGTATGTGTGATCTTCTATCCCATTGTGGATTTCTATTGGATCAAGGTTATATATATATTCCCCACTCGTTTCAGAAATTCTGACTTGTACCCTGCACCTGTTGAAATCTGGCTGATCATCACCTATGTGAGTTCCCTTTACCTACTTTCTAACTTTCACAAGGATCACTGATTATCCCACATTTGGATTTCGAGATGGCGGCTGGAAGTATCACAACCCTACCAATAGGGCCTGAGGATGGGGGCAGTAGCCCATTTCCCCCTGGTAACTTTAAAGACCCCAAGAGACTTTACTGCAAAAATGGTGGATATTTCTTAAGGATCAACTCAGATGGCAGAGTGGACGGCTCAAGAGAGAAGGGCGACTCACACAGTGAGTGTACACTAAATGTGACTGGGTCACACATGCAGATTTCATTTGTGTGAGTGCATGGGCATCTATCACCAAGTGAGGATATGAGTGAGTGGTCTGTTACTAAATTATGAACTAGGCTGTTATGTGGATATATGCAAAAGGGACATCTGCCGCGATTGTTGTACAACAACTTTTAGAGTTCCTAGACAAAGTTCCTGTGAATGGTAGTTCAATAATGCAGCGTATCAATATTTTTCAAAATGTGTCAATATTTGTTTTGTAGAGGAGCAAGTGTCAATATGCCCATATGTTGTGCTATGTTTTACAAGTGAATCATACTGTGTTTTAATGCACTTACTTGCATATTTTGAAAATTAGCTATTTAGAATTATGTACTGTCAGCTGATTTTGTAACATTCGTTTAGGAAGGATATAATGCTAAAACAGTAGCTATAGAAAAGGAGTTCCCCCAAATCAGGCCAGATTCTAGTAAGAGTGGATCAGGAAGGTATATATTTGGTTTAATTAACTTAAAAAAGTAAACAGCTAATTTTGGGTACACTTATAATTTTCTATCTGTTCAGTCTACATAGAAAGTAAATGATGTAATTTAAGCTGCTGTAGACTAGCATTGGTGGCTGAATGCAATGGGAGTTGTAATTCATCATAGGTGTAGTGACAGTGATGGTCTATGGCATAATAACAATCTCTTCTTTTAGGTACCCATTCTAAAATGGAATAGTCAATCAGTGGCTGCATACTGCATGAAACAGTTTTGTTTACATCAGTGACTTCGAGTGAAAGTAATATTTCCATATTTTTGCTTCTTTTGTTGTGTGTTGACTTACAGTAATGTAAATGTACATCCCCTACTAAGAAGCTTATTCACTTAACCAGGAATTGTGACAAATTCATCAAGTAATTGGATATTTTAGGCCATGATAGCTGAGTTGAATACTGAGATTTTTATTCCTATCCAGCTATAATAGATAAATTTAATATTTACCCGCCAGTTCTCCATACGTTTTTTTATGACATATTTTTAGGCACATTCTTATAATATCCTGTTTTTTGAAATTGGAAAAGTTAGTTTTCAGGGGTTATTTGCTAAAGTAAGAATGCAAGGTGAATTTAATGTGAATTTAACATTTATAGGTACAGTATAGTCACCAGAACAATTACACCTTATTGTATTTGTTCTGGTGAGTAAAATCAGTGCCTTCAGGCTTTTTGCTGTAAGCCCTGTCTTTTCAGGAAAATGCAGTGCTTACATTACAGCCTAGTGATAACTACACTGGTCACTCCTCACATGGCTACTAGAGGTGCTTCCTGGGGCAGTGCTGCCTAGAATGCATCACAACATTCAGTGTCTCCTCCCTCTGCATGCAGATACTGAACTTTCCTCATAGAGATTCATTGATTCAATTCAGGGCTCTGTTTGAATCATGCTGGCTCTGCCCCTGATCTGCTATAGTAAGATTTTACTATATTTAGGGAGGCAAGAGAGGGCATAGGGGGCTTTAGGAACACTATAGGGTCAGAAATATATGCTTGTGTTCCTGTCCATAGTGCTGGCAAAGCATAATGGAAAATATAGTCCACAACATCTGGAGTGCCAATGTTTACCTAATCCTGCTCTAAAATGTCACCACTACTGGAGTGAACTGAATGTGGCACAAGCACCAATTGAGACCAAAGTTGTTAATCGTATTAAAACAGTTTGACATTGTGGAACAGCATCCAGGAAGTCCTGGCACCATAACTACTAAAACAAGCTGTAGTGGACACTTGTCTGGCTGACTGAGAGCCGCTCATAGACTCTCAACTGGCCCTCACTCAGGGCAGACCATGCACAGAGGGCTGTTGAAGTGTTCTCTGCATGGTGCTGGTGCCCACAGCATAATGCAAGCGCATCTAATGATGCGCATGCACAGTGCTGGCTGGGGTTAGTTCCCTGGTATCCCTAATACGAGACACCAGAAAACAAAATTGAGAGAATTGGAGCGAAATGCCAGAGAATATGTCTTGACTACACACTTTGATTTGAATGGGGATTATTAACAGTAACAGTAGATAATGTATAGTTGTACTTCACTAGTGCCGCTCTAAAAACTGAACTATATTATGCTAATTATTGATTTCCTATGATGGAATTGAGATTCAGTATTCTTTACTTTGTGTGATTGCAAATATAATGTCCATTTCTGCTTCCCTGGTTTCCTGCTACATTATATGAGCTATTGAATGTCTTCTGGACACCCTTCCTTTATCTTGTCTCTTCCAATATATAACAGAGCTCTGACAATAGGTGACATATAGTATACAAACACAGCACGGTTACATCTGTCACTCTGTTAAACAGCTGTCAAACTGGGTCACACACTTATGAGATGCAGAGCAAGTCATCTGGCAGCAGGTTTTGTTCTAAATGTCACCCCTTACGGCCATTTGCTTAACCTCAGCAAATGTGCATGTTTTTCAAAGCAGACTCATCCATTGTGGCATTCATCATGTCTGCTATGAAAACTGAAAACTGAGTGTGATACAATACAAATACACAAAATGCCCAAATATATGTTGCTTATATAAAGCTATGATTCGTGACTTTCTTGTTAATGTATTTTGTATAACACGGTATTAAAGAGAAAAATTGTAGTAAATGTAACTGGGAATAACAAATGGGAGGGGGAATACTGGGCCAGGTTTTTTTTATATTCTCTTGTATTCTAGCACAGTGGAGGGGGTCCACACAATATTTCACTAGGTGATTGGGCATTTTGTGGTCCTTTTCTCTTTTAGAACCACAATTAATGTCCTAATATATATATACTTTTGCATATATTATTTCTAGGCTGTGATTTTTGTTAACGATGACGTAATCATGCCATTTGCCCCATTCACAGTTATATCGGAATTACTTGATTGATTATCCTTGTCAAGTTCATACAGCCGTGCAGTAGTTAATAGTGTGATATATATCCTTTTACAATTGATTTCTTCAAGATGACATTGTTATGACAGAATAGATTATCACTGGTCCTTTGGACATTAAGAGTTATTTGCAATATATTTCACCAATTGCTGGTAGTAATTTATATGAATTAGCACGGCCATTAAGAATTACTATGTACTATGCATCTTCCTCTCCAACCACCTTTGGGTATCAGCCCCCTCCACTACTTTCCTTATACTCAAAAGTGTAGCTTACATTAATACATAAAAACACGTTCCCTTGGATCTGTAGTTTGTTCAATTTGTGAAGTTTGTTTAGATGGCCATTTTGCATGGATAATGAGAAAGTGAACTTCCTCATTATGTTGTGGAGGGAGTTTCGGGGATTCGATGTGGAGTCATCCACAGTCTCCTAGCACCCTCCTACTTCAATAATATGTAGTGGTTATGGTGTCTGGAGGATCCTCCTTCTTGTGCACGTTTTTCCAGGAATCTACACTTCCATCTGGATCCCCCTATATCATACTAGAACTAATCTGACAATCTGTGGCAATATTGCACTTTAATGGGATTATTACTGTGCATGCACATGTTGCACTAGTTTGTATTGAAAAACTATGGTGCATGGATTTGAACTGGTTAATGTGCTCGAATATGCATTATTTTGCTTATGGTTCCAATATGGTCACAGAGACACAATGCATAGGTCTTAAGTCTGTCTAGATAGACACATTTCATGATCCTAGTATGGGATTATTTAATAAATTAAAGTTAATGTTAAGTAGGACTGATGACCATGCATTGGTCTAGTACAGGGGTTTCTAACCCTGTCCTCAAGTACCCCCTACCAGTCCAGGATTTTGGGATTACTGTGTTGTGTCTTAAAGTGTTTTTTTTTTCCTTTCTGAAACCACCTTATACACAAGGGGGTAATCCCTAAATCCTGGACTGCTAGGGGGTACTTAAGGAGTGGATTGGGAACCACTGGTCTAGTACACTGATAGCCAACTGCTCTACAATTCAGGGATGGCTAACTGGTCTGGTCCAAGGAAAGGCTTATACTGATGAGATGCCTTTGCCCTCAAATGTGTGCCAGGGTAGAGTACATTTGGTGGGGGGGTGAATGTTTCCATTTTGCCCCATAATTAATCCTCCAATGAAAATAAAATATTAATATATATATATATATATATATATATATATATATATATATAAATAAATCAGTGATCTGTCAATCATATAAAATGCTGTATTTTACATGTTAAATAGTGTATGGAAAAGAAAAGTTAACAAAACTGCTGTAAACCGTAATAAAGTAGCTATGATAAAATCATGTACTTGTAATGGTGTATCCAAGCAGTTGTTAAGTTTCATCCAGACTTTGATGCCTATAGCCTGGAATGAGCGGGTTTAGTGGTTAAAGTGTTGGTCTTGAATACACAAGTTTGTGGGTTTGTTTGTATTCTTAGCCACTTAGTCCATGTTTGATGTTGGACAAATCACTATTCCCCCTCCTTCCTCAGCTTACCCACCTGCACTGGAGACTTGAAAAATTCAGGGTTTTTTTAGTATTCTGGGCTTGCAGCAAATGTGCTGGTTTCAAACCACTCTATACATTTTCTTTAATAACCATTACTAAAAGTGAGCTGTCAGGTTGTAATTGTGATTGAAATGTGCCTTTTCTCAATATTTTTGGAGCTGTTTGATAGATATTTACTATCCAATTGCAATTAAAAAAATAATCGTAAAAAGATCTGCATGTTAAATCATGTTGCAATAAAAGTTAATAGTGTGTTAAAATATAATGTTTATTTCTAAAATATAAATATATGAAATTACATTTATATTTTAAGATCAGGCCAAGATCAGTCAAATGTATCTATATTATTTGTAATTTGTATATTTATATATATATATATGTATGTATATATATATATATAATTGAAAAAGCATCTTGCACTCCATGTTCTGTAAAGGTACTTTCCCGGTGCTCGTCAGGCCCAATGTACAAAAAAGGTAGTCCAGATAGCACTCTCAGGTCTTAGTAAAATAAAACTTAGCTTTTAATTAGCTTGTCATAAAGAATCAACGTTTCAGTTTGTTATCCACAAACTTTCATCAGGACTAACATACATAGTGCAAACACTTCCCTACATACCTCAAAATACATGCAATTAATTAAACCACCACCGGACCACCATCAACTCCATGTCCGCGTGGTTTGGGGCTAGCACGGGTTCCGCCGACGTCATCGTGTCCGTGTGTGACTTCATCATGTAACATCAGCGTCATTACCTCATCACGCAAGTCCCCGTCCGTGGCCTCATCGGGAGGACATTACTATGGAAACAATGTAAACACATATCAAATCATCGTGGCATAAAAACTTAAGCATAAAAATCACTTCACAATAGCCAAAATACCATCAAGGATACTAGTGATGTAATATGATGTGCTGGAGTTCAATAACGTATCAATGATTATAAATTCAGCGGTCCCAAGATTTATACCATATAAATCCCAGTGTAACTCTGCCCCAAAGTATCCATATTTTGTCAAATCATACATCAAGAAATAAATAGGATTATATCCACTGCAAAACATTAAAGTGGTATTTATTAGAACACCATACATGGTGATATGGGGATTCTAAGAGGAATCCAAGTCCCCACTAATACACAATTTATATACTAGACATAGTTACATAGTTACATAGTTACATAGTTACATAGCTGAAAAGAGACTTGCGTCCATCAAGTTCAGCCTTCCTCACATTTGTTTTTTGCTGTTGATCCAAAAGAAGGCAAAAAAACCCAGTTTGAAGCACAATTTTGCAACAAGCTAGGAAAAAAATTCCTTCTTGACCCCAGAATGGCAGTCAGATTTATCCTTGGATCAAGCAGTTATTACCCTACATTGAAAGATTATATCCTTGAATATTCTGTTCTTGCAAGTATGCATCTAGTAGCCGTTTGAACATCTGTATGGACTCTGATAAAACCACTTCCTCAGGCAGAGAATTCCACATCCTGATTGTTCTTACAGTAAAAAAACCTTTCCTTTGCCTTAGGCGAAATCTTCTTTCTTCCAGTCTAAACGCATGGCCTCGTGTCCTATGTAAAGTCCGGTTTGTGAATAGATTTCCACACAATGGTTTGTATTGGCCCCGAATATATTTGTATAATGTTATCATATCCCCTCTCAGGCGACGTTTTTCTAAACTAAATAGGTTTAAATTTGTTAACCTTTCTTCATAGCTGATATGTTCCATTCCTTTTATTAATTTTGTAGCCCGCCTCTGCACTTTTTCTAGTGCCATAATATCCTTCTTTAGAACAGGTGCCCAAAATTGCACAGCATATTCAATATGGGGTCTTACCAGTGATTTATAAAGAGGCAAAATTATATTCTTGTCCCGAGAATGAATGCCCTTTTTCATGCATGACAATACCTTACTGGCCTTGGCCACTGCTGATTGACATTGCACATTGTTGCATAGTTTGTTGTCTATAACAATTCCCAAGTCCTTTTCATGTGTTGTTATCCCTAATTCGCTTCCATTAAGGGTATACGTTGCTTGTGTATTCTTTACGCCGAAGTGCATAACTTTGCATTTTTCAACATTAAATTTCATCTGCCATTTGAGTGCCCAGTCCCCCAGTCTATCTAAATCCCTCTGCAGCAAAGTAATATCTTGCTCACATTGTATTGTTTTACAAAGTTTGGTGTCATCTGCAAACACTGAAACATGACTTTCAATGCAGTCTTCAAGATCATTTATAAACATGTTAAATAGAAGGGGTCCCAGAACAGACCCCTGAGGGACACCACTTGCCACCTCTGTCCAGCTTGAAAATTTACCATTAATGACAACTCTTTGTACTCTGTTTTTAAGCCAATGTTCTACCCAAGAACAAGCATTTTCATCTAGACCGATTTCCTTGAGTTTGAACACTAATCTATTGTGTGGAACTGTATCAAATGCCTTGGCAAAATCCAAATAGATCACATCCACGGCAACACCCTGATCTATACTTCTACTTACTTCTTCGTAGAACGCAATCAAGTTAGTTTGACATGACCTGTGCTTCATAAAACCATGCTGATTTTTGCTGATAACCATGTTCTTCTCAAGGAATTCTTGAATATTATCCCTTAATAAACTTTCAAATATTTTACCAGCCACAGAAGTTAAGCTCACAGGTCTATAATTTCCAGGCAAGGATTTTGAACCCTTTTTGAATATAGGAACCACATCTGCCTTCCTCCAATCCTCCGGAACACTTCCTGAAAGAAAAGAATCTTGAAAGATTAAAAACAGAGGTTCACTTATTTCTGCACTTAGTTCCTTAAGTACAGTGGATGGATACCGTCAGGCCCTGGAGCTTTGTTTATATTAACTTTCTTTAGTTGCTGCAGCACCTTGTCTTGAGTTAACCAATTACAATTATTCTGCAAGTTTTTAGTAGCAATCATTTGCACATCTATTGCCATGGGTTCTTCCTTAATATATACGGAGGAGAAAAAGTTATTTAAAATTCCTGCCTTTTCCTGGTCTTCATTAATTAACACCCCCGTTTCAGTTTTTAGTGTACCTACACTTTCATTTTGGACATATGTTCCAAAATTTAAAATAAGCAGGAAAAAAAGAGAATAGAATAAATCTATTATTCAAGGAGATAGTCCATGTTATGAGAAGATAATCAATCAATAATGTGTTGCATTTACCTTATCATCCTCCCTACATATTATAAGTTGGTCACCAAACAAAAAAGACTGAGTTCCAAATAATTCTGAAGCCTAACCCCATGGGTGGACACAAAGTATTTATTTGTATTATCCAAGACCTCCAGGCCAAAATCATTATTACTATGTACAAATATGGGTGAAAAATACAGTCGCAATGAAAACAGGTTCTGTCCCTCGGGATGGATCCTGCACATCCAAACTGCATCCTCACCATCCATATAACTTGGAAAACAACCAAGCAAGGTAAACCATAGTCTTATGCATGGATACCACTGCATGTTGTGGGCCAATGTATATCAAATAACGCACAGTATTAAGTAAGGAGGGTGGTGACCCTTTCCAATGGGACAAAACCCAGGGTGGATTTTGAGGCCCAGTAAGAGTAAACAATCCACTATGTACCAGATATTCTACCTATTAAGTCTAAGTGAAACTATACGTATAAACAGTGTAATGATAATATCCGAAAACCAAGTGTAGACCAATAATAAGGCATCTTCATGTTGAGTATAAGGGATAATAGCCTAACCCTAAGAGTGGGCACAAATCACCCCACTCAAAATATTGTCATATATATATATATATATATATACACACACACACACACACACACACACACACACACAATAAATTCACAAAAGCAGGAATCAAGCTAAAGCCCTGTAATCAGCCATCATTATATTGAGCATAAGGGATGCTGGCCTAACCCAAGGGGTGGTCACCAATCAACCCAATACAAAATTGGTCAGGCTAGAGGAAGCATCAGACATCCTATAAAACTATACCCCTATGTCAAACTAAAGAAAAGCTGACAGTGTATATTTCTCATTCAACCCATCTGGGTGAACGGTTTGTAGAGTTCTAATCCAGTGCAATTCCCGTTGGAGAAGCATTTTTTCTTGCAATCACCCCCTCTCCTAGGGAAAGGAACATGGTCAATGACCATCAACTTCAAGGATGTGTGCCCCAATTCCAGAAAGTGCTTTGCTACTGGAAGGTTTATTTTGTTATCCTTTCCCTCAACAGTAAGTCAGTCTTTCCTATATAGGCCAATCCGCAGGGACATAACAGTTTGTATATCACAAAATCACTTGTACATGTGAGTTGGTGTTGTACACGGTAGCTATTCCCACTGTGTGGATGTGAAAATGTTTTCCCTGGTATCGTGTCCACAAATGACACATCCTAGGCAATGGTAGCACCCCAAATTCTGTTGCATTTTTCACGAGAATAGCAATGAATTAGGTCCTTGTTCACTAATAGATACCTCAAATTTGTGTTCCTCTTGCTCACGGAATTCCAAAGGTATCATAGCATCATTTCTCAGGACTCTCCAATTATCATCTATGATTTGTTTAAATTCCAAGGACACTGTGGTGTATATAGTAGGAAATACCATCCTCTTGGTCTCTTTAGTTTTCTTAAGAGTCTCTGTTACATCCAAACATTTAAGCAAAGCTTTGCGAAGTACACATTCATTGTATCCATGCTGACGAAATTTGTCTCACATTCGGCCTAACTGGTCCTGTGCTTTCCTAGCATCAAAATTGTTCCTAAGAACTCTCAGGAACTGTGAATATGGTAGTGAGGCTTTTAAGGCTTTAGGGTGAAAACTATTCGCCTGGAGCAAGGTGTTGCAATCTGTGGGTGTGAAAAAAAAAAAAAAAGTATATGACAAGCCAGTTCCTTCACAGTACACCCTTACATCCAGAAAATCATTAGAGGACAGATCCATCAAAGCAGTTAATTCAATGTTGGATGTACATGAAATGATGGACTGGACCATTCCTTCAACATCAGCTATATTCCCCTTGATTATCATGAAGATGTCATCGATATAGCGAACATACATTAGGATGTTGTCCTTGTACGGTTCCAAATTGTGTATGGGTTTAAACATGTACTTATATCCATTGGCATACATGGGGTATATAGGGAAGGGTTTGCACTATGTATGTTAGTCCTGATGAAAGTTTGTGGATAACAAACTGAAACGTTGATTTTTTATGACAAGCTTATTAAAAGCGAAGATTTATTTTACGAAGACCTGAGAGTGCTATCTGGATTACATACACACACACACACATATATATATATAATACACAAGATGCAGCGCACTTACTTATCTACCAAATAGCAACTTCAATGTTGACAGATTTTATTAGTTTAAAAAAAACCCACCTAATCTAGGCAAAAATAATGGGGGTTTAGTTACATTATATGATCATACATTGCATAAGCCTGCCACAAAGTCAATGTACCCCATCTGGTTATATATATATATATTTATTCTCTCTGTGTCCTTGCACACGCACTTGAAATTTCAAAATGCCTGGTGCACTTTAGCCAATGCCACAAATTAACATACAAATATTGAAAAGGCATGCACTCACAGTCTGTTTTTTTTCTTTTATAAGGTTCCTTTATTTTATTCCTTTAAAATGCGATCGAACTGCTGTACTGATCCTGATGAAAGCCACGGATGTTGGCTGAAACGTCGATCGCATTTTAAAGGAATGAAATAAAGGAACCTTTTTTTTTAAAAAAAAGAAGAACTTGAGTGCAAGCCTTTTCAATATTTCTAATAACACATATAACAAAAAAACCTAATATACTCAAATGAAAAAAAAAACCTGAATACAAATATAAGAGAATAAATATAAATGACCTTAAAAGTGCAAATGCAATCAGGGTCATGTGAAAAATCATTAAACAAAGCAGGCGGGTTGTATAATGACATCTTGACATAAAAAACTGCATATATTTCAATTTCTCCACAATATTGTGTATCTTAAGGCTATAAAGGAACATTGTAAGAACACAAGGAGGAAGATGTAAATAAACAAAATGACAAGCCGTTCCTCCATTGTAAAGTGGTCATGTGATTGAGATATTGGTCACATGATGGTGAAAGTGATCACTAAGAGAGCAGTCATAAAGACTAGGTTAACAAGGTAACAAATTAACTTGATATATTACTAATAACCAAATAAGAGGGAAAATATATTAAACCTTTAAGGAAATATCAGAGATATGAGTACAACTTATCCAAAGAAGCTCATTACTATATTAAAAAAAATAAAGCATGCCTCCCTTGAAACCCCCATGTATATATTGCAAATATTCAATATAAATCTCATATCAAAAATGTAAGTAATTAAAAAATTTTTTATTAAATAAAATATTATAATATAAACAGTGCTAGTACACAATGTGGTTAAAATGTGACTAAATATAAAGTGCTATTAACAGTGTAAAATCTCAAGCGTAACAAATAATTATTGTGCAACCTATATGATTCCACTTATAAAGTGACATTGAAAACATAAAGTGCAACAAAGTGCTAAAAGTGATATTAGTACCAATAGTTCACAACTGTCATACAAGGTAAAGAATTATAATGAATAAGCAAATATACAGAGCAATGAGGAGTAATAGAGCTATACAGTGTTAAATAACCCCCAGGGTCATGCAAATCATACAAAAGAATTAGGATATCAGAAATAGAAGATAATATAATAATATTTAGCATCATATCATAAAATGTATTTCATAATAGACATTTAAGCCCTGATGTCTCACACTATCCATGTCAGGGTGGCGGTCCGGTGCCTGGACCAGGACCCAATATGCCTGATGTTCAGAGTAGGAGTCACAGTGTGGAGGTGGATTAGCAGGGCAACCACACGCCCCCTGGTGTTGAGCACCAGCGTTTGTGCAGCCACATACCAAAACCCTGATTAAGCTTATGCGGATCCCAGAAACTAGGAGCAGGTAATTAAGCAGACCTCCCAGGAGCTGAATAGGGAGGCTCTGCAGCAGGGATGTATCCAGTACTGAAGCAAGGCAAGACTAGAGATAGGCACCATACAAGAAAACAAGACCAAACTAGGAGAACAGGGCAAGACTAGAGATAGGCACCATACATGAAAACAAGAGAAAACTAGGAGAACAAAGAACCAGAGCAGGACAGAAAGCAGAACATGTACACAAGACATGAGGAAAACAAGAACATAACATGGGCATGACTGAACAGGACTGTACATGGACTGGGATTACAAGACTAAATAAAACAAGAGGAGACATAACTAAGCACTAATTATGAAAAGTATGGGGATTTAGTTACATTAAATGATCATACATTGCACAAGCCTGCCAACAACGCCAATGTACCCCATATCTGGCAGGTCCTACACTGCCTAATGTATGCTAAAACAACCATACTAAACCACAATATAACACTTACCTGCAAGAAAGGGCAGAGACTTGAAACACTGCTGCAGTCCAGACTGAAACAAAAGGAAAGTGGAAAACAAATGAGTGAGGCAACATAAAACAAATGAACCCAGAAACCCAGCAACAAAGAAGACCAGAAAACCAGAAAACCAAGCAAGGACAGCAAAAAGAGTACTGGATACCAGGAGCCATTGCCAGAATGATCCGCAGCAAGGAACAGGATGTGACAGTCCAAGTCCCAGGTCCAAAACATTCTGTTTTTGTAAAGGGACACTATAGGCGCCCAGGTCACCACATCTCAATGAAGTGGTCTGGGTGCCATGCCCCTGTCTTTTTTAACCTGCAACTGAAAACATTGCCATTTTGCGGGAATGGTAATGCAACATATACACAAAATTGTTGTGTTATGATATGTTATATGCTGGCTATACATCCTATGCTTCAAATAAATGTTATGCCAATGTCTTTTCAATCGAAAAGTACTCAGTAGTGAAGGGGCTAAGATTGTACGATTTTCCATAATAGTTGTCAAATTCTGGGGATCCAAAGTATTTTTATGTTCTGAGGATTGTAGAAAATAAATCCTGGAGGTAACACCATGTGATTTAAGTTGTGCTGCCAATGCTGCCCCTGTTCTATTGCTTTGGCCACAGAATTTGTATTCAAGGCGTTTTAACAAGAAGGCTGTTTTGGAGAGCTCTAAGCACCTAAAGAAACTGAAGTGATACAGTTGAGAATCAGAATCAGTAGAAGAATTTGCTTTTAGGGATGTGCATGGGCAAAAAATTTTTTGGGGCACTTACGAAATTCGGGACTTTGCCAATTTTGGGCTTCGGCAATTCGGCACTTCGGTTCGACACTTATGAAATTTCGAACTTCGGGACTTCGGAAATTTCCTAACCCTACTCCTAACCCTACCTCTCACAGTAAAAAAAAAACACTGTGGTTTTAGAACCAGCTGCGCAGAAGTGAATTATTTTTGTTTTTTTCTTTAATAATTTTTTGTTTCAGAGACCACTGTTTGGATCCATCAGGTGTAACTCCTGAACCCATAGATATTTGCCAATGGTGTAAAAGCTTGAGGTCCTGATCTAGAGTAAAGATGAGTTTGTCTTAAGATGAGTTTGTTTCATTAACTATTAATTTGATGATCACAGCCAAAGTGAAGAACACACTCATAGAACTTCAAAATAAACAAGATAACGTAATTTGTTTTTTAGAGCTGTGCAACACATGCATTCACCATTTCAGTCCCATTACCAAACATTTCTTACTATGTCAAGGTAGTTCGACTGAAACATTGGTTATATGCAAATACACGTCTCCTTAAAATAAATTTACTCTTCTGTTTACATTGAAGCCCTACAAGCGTGAGGACTTCCAGTGTCAGTTAGGCAACTTTTGTTATACTGTACTTTTCTAAATAAACCTATGTTTCTATGAAAACTGACATTTTGTTTTTTGTGCGGCTCACATAAACGTAAACCTTGTTTATTTGACCCGTCTTAGCCTTTGAGTTTGGCATGCGTGTGCCAAAGAGTTGTGGGTATCGATGAGTTCCTCTGCCTTTCCTCCTAGTGTGTCAAAAGATATCATAAGACAAAGTAGTGACTTTGTTTTAAGTATTTTTCCTAAACTTGAAAAAAGACGGAGTTACCTTTTGTCAAGCCTTGTCAAGCCCTCAGCCATCACAAGTGGAAAAAAGGATGTTTCTGTGGAGGATCTTGTCGGCTTCTGGCCTGCACTTTGAAGATAAATTATATTTGCACTTTTAAGGTAATTTGTATTTATTCTATATTTTACACTATGCTATTCTATTCTCTATAACTACTACGGCGTGCTGTAGTGTGTATGGCACTTGGAGTGTCCCTTTAATAATATAGCAAGACAAATGTTGGTCCATAGTGTCATCGAAGCTGCAGAGATACAGTATCTCACAAAAGTGAGTACACCTCTCACATTTATGTAAATATTTTATTCTATCTTTTCATGTGACAGCATGTCTCCAGACCTAAACCCTATTGAGCATCTGTGAGGCATCCTCAAATGGAAGGTGGGGAACGCAAGGTCTCTAACATCCACCATCTCCGTGATGTCATCATGGAGGAGTTGAAGAGGGCTCCAGTGACAACCTGTGAAGCTCTGGTGAACTCCATGCCCATGAGGGTTAAGGCAGTGCTGGAAAATAATGGTGGCCACACAAGATATTGACACTTTGGGCCCAATTTGGACATTTCCACTTAGGGGTCTACTTTTGTTGCCAACGGTTTAGACATTAATGGCTGTGTGTTGCGTTATTTTGAGGGGACATCAAATTTACAGTGTTATACAGGCTGTACATTTACTAGTTTACATTGTAGCAGAGTGTAATCTATTCAGTGTTGTCACATGAAAAGATATAATAAAATATTTACAAAAATGTGATGAGTGTACTCACTTTTGTGAGATACTGTACATGTTCTCCCTTATGTAAATTCCCAGATGAGACTACTTGCATTCTTATCCTCACCCTGTGTCTAGAAAAGAGCATATCAAAGCCATTGAGGAGGAGTAGATTATGTAAGCATACATATCATTTCTTTTTGTGTTTTCACTGGTATTATTCCCAGTCAGAGGGATTGAATTAAGGGTCACATAACTCAAGCATATGATGCATTGCAGTTACAACCATAATATTGCCCTTTAACACACTGTGAAACTTGACTCTCTTTTCAATTACCAGAAGAACATTTGGAGTTTACGAGAACTATCCATCTTATTTTATCTTTGTAAAGTCATGCATAGAAATAAAATATTCTTTACTATTGACTTTAATGCTTCATTTTCTAATTATATTTTACTTTATCTATCATGCCATTTATAAAATAATTAATTATGTTGTTACATGGTTTCAAATGGTTATTGTCCATTAATTGTCAACCAATTTAGTCAGTTTGATAATAATATACACTATATATTTAGGGAGGTTGGAAATTAAGCCAAATTGTAGTAAAAACAAATCAAAGGAATAGATGTAAGTCAAAATCTAATACCAATATTCTTGAGTTCAATTAACCAGGCAAATTCATTAACTAATTTAGAGACAGATTATCCCTCCGCAGAAGCATATGGGGTGAGGAAAGGATTAGGGAAAATGTTCCTTTCGTTTTTTTCATAGGAGAACTAATCACAGATCTCGTTAGAATAGGCATGAATTCAACAGTTTTATTTTACTTGTGAGAGATACTGTAATAATGAGAGGTGCTAACACTCAAGTTTCAGTGGTCACAATTCTGTTGAAGAGGAGTTATCAATACTTGGGCAGACTAGATGGGCCGAATGGTTCTTATCTGCCGTCACATTCTATGTTTCTATGTTACTTTAATAGAACTATTGGACTCTTCTCTGATTCACTATCTAAAAAAGAATTAGCACATGAAAAGAACTAACACCACAAACATCAACTTTATTTCCTCAATTAGTGCTAGGCTTCCTCATTCGTGAATACTGGACCCTTGTGTTATAGGAGTTTTAGGTACATTGGCAACAGATTTACTGGAATCTTCAGAAACCTGATCAGACAAGAACTGGACATGTCGGGACTTGTCACTGCCGAGTGACCGCTTACAAGACAATGGATTTCTACAAAGTTCAGGCTATTCCTACTGCTCCATTCTGCCCAATCTCCTGGATATCTCTTTAGGAAACCATATTTTCCCCATGACCATCCTTAGATATCTTTCTTCTGTGATCACATATTTTCTCATTTCAGAGTTTTGCCGGTAGTCTTTTTTAGCCAGACTTCATTAGCAAAATTGTCTTGATCAAGTATAATTAACATTTATTGAAAATGATAAAATATGCTGTTATTAAACACATTAGGAGCATATGGATTGTTTGTTTGTTTTATTTTGCTCCTGGCCCAATTGTAGATGTATTCTTTATAATGTTTACTGTAAGACAGCACAATAAATCTAGGAGACAGAACGAAAAAACTAGACATTGGCTCATTACTAATAAAGCAAAAATGGAAAACAATTAAAGCGAGTATAGAGAAATCACACTCCAAGGTGCATTCATTAAACCATGTATTGTTGGGCATTCACTTGGGAATTGCTAATTGCAAGCCAAAATTTAAAAGAAAAGATAAGCGGGATATTTTATCCCACTTGACTAGTTTGGCCTAAAACTTGTAAAGTATGTAATGTGTAACATTTCAGCAGTTCTCAGTTTGGTGAACAAACCCGTTTATTTCATCATAATGTTTGTTTTTTGGGTTTTTTATAACTGAAAACCATGTATACATATAGGCAAAAATATAAACCGTTCGCCACTGTATACTGGCATGGCAATATAAAATATATGTAAAATAATATGTTATACTGTAAACAGAAATATTAAGTGACATAAAGCGATTAAGATTAAAACCAGAAGTTTAATATCTTTGCAGCAAACAAGGTAGGAATTTAGCGTGCATATTGTGTTGATTGCCATGAAAGGACTTTGGAATTGACCCATGCCAAAAAGGAGGTAACGTGTTTTAACAATTGTGTAGTCACCTATATACTTCAGGATCAGATGATGCAGCACATTGCTTATAACATTTTATAAACTTCAGTTTTTCCATCTTCCTTTTGTGTCAGTCTCATTTACTTTCACGGCCGGAATAACACTTTATAAGGCTCTTTACTGTGCTTCTTAAACCTAGACTATTAGTGGTTTCCTCTGGCTGCTTACTGGGAGGTGTGGGGGCAGGATCTGCATCATGCAGTGACAAGTCTTGGAACCAAATGAATAACAATGTGACCACAGCACGCTGCATCTGGGATACTTACTCATCTGGGCCTCCTTAACCAACACATTGCTGGTGTGACCACAAAGGCAAAACTGTTGACTAGCGGTGCAGCCCTGTGTTTGGCATGGCTCTGCATTGTTCTCTGGAATATATGCCAGAATGATAGTGGACAGGTGTACCTTTAAAAAATGTGGGTGCCAGTTTCTTTTTTTCTTTTAGTCATTTCAGGAAGGGAAATGTTTCCCACCTTGCTACATACATTTCTAATATATTTCTTTTTTTATCTGAACCATTATATGATATTTTCTTTTATTATGTTGTACAATATCACATGAAAAAAAAAAAACACTATTCATAGTTTAATAGCAAAGATATCATGTAACTCCTACCCAAACAATGCATTTTCGAATTGGCATTTGGCATGGCTGTGATTATAGAATTTCTGTAAATAATTACCTCCATTTTAGATGTCACTTTGGGTTAGAGGTTACAGGTTAGGATCACAGCTAAGATCAGTGTTATTTGTTTACTTGTTGCAGTTCAGTTCAATTTTTTACACATTACTATATCTATTCCAATAAGATGCATGCAAAGGGAAAATGTGTTTATGGTAACTTGACTGCCTCTTTAAGAGAAGTCACTTTCCACAAATATTTAAAATCATGTGGGAATCTCAAATGATAAGGCTTGTAGATAACAAAGATAATGGTATACCAGAGGACATCGGAAAGCAGCCATTTGTATGACTTTTATGTAATTTACGTTTATGTGTACACGTACATGAATTTGTCTACTTCCTTTTTGCCATGTTTATGTTTTTTTATTTTTAGCTGACTAATAGTTGACATGTATATGAACAATCAGGCAGAGCAGATGTGGTTTTGAACAGATACAAAGGGTAACAAACAAGTTGGCTTACAGAAAGAAATGGCCACAAAGCACCAATCTAACCTATCTAGCTAGAAGATTGGCAGACAGGCAAGATATCAAACAATTCCCCTTGGTCTCCTGAACCTAATGGTGCCTCTTTTATGGTTCTGTGAGCTCTGATTGGTCCAGTATTAAACAGATCAACCCCTACACAATCAGAACACTGTATTTGTGCTCTGCCCCCATTTTTCTCCAATTTTTAAATATCCAAATGTGTATAATTATTTTTTCCAGTGTATGATCTGAAGTTGGATTGTGGAAGGAGTGGATTTTGTTCAAAATATTTATTTATAGAACATGGAGCATTTGCCTGGAAGAGACTTCCAAGAAGGCTTACGATGTGCTGAAGAAGAAATAAGAAAAATAAGCATAACATATTAAAATGACCACATTAATTAATTATCATATATTATGAGAATCTATATTTAAAAATTGTATGCGTTTTAATTTTTTGTCACAGACCACGTCATTGTGTCATTTTGTCAAAATTAGTAAATATGCATGGAAATCTTGGGCAGGCAAGTGTCAATAGTACCACAGATACACACTTGTGAAGTTCCAAAAGAGCAGGTAGAATTTCAGTACTAACTTCCCTTTTAAGAAATGTTCTGCATTTAACACTTGTTCTTTGTCCTATTGCAGACTTTCCGCCTCGAGGTTAAACTAAATCATAACAGCTAATTATTAGAGATGTGCATTCAAAGAATTGTTGTTTCAGTTTGTTCATTTGATGCAAACATTTTCTGCTTTGGCTTGTCAGAAATTAATTCACATATCTATTTAGTTAGTCTGAAATTCTGTAAAAAGCTTTCATTCAACTATTAATCCCTGTGGAAATGAATAATTCCTGTTTGTAAAACAGGGATAATGCAAACTTAAAAGCAAAATATATTACTTTTATATAAAGGCCATGCAATGTATGCATAAGCAATGTAATGCACTTACAGCCAGAGAAAATAAGACTTATTTGAATATTTGCATAATAAAAATCTGAAAATAAATAAATGGAAGCAATATATATATATATATATATATATATATATATGTGTGTGTGTGTGTGTGTTCCATCATGGAACATAATGGAGGAATTATGTTGTGAGCTGAGGGAAAGATGGTAAAGTGATACATAAATACACACTCAAGTCGTATTGTCCTTAATCTTGAGAGTAGAGACAGAGAGAGTCTAAGGAAAAAGGAAAAATTGGACTCTACGCATGTTCCTGCTTTGGAAATATAAGAGGGATGTAGGGGAACAAAATATGTGAACTGACTGACAATGAAGTTAGTTAAAGGGACACTATAGTCACCAGAACAACTACAGCTTATTGAATTTGTTCTGGTGAGTAGAATCATTACCGTCAGGCTTTTTGCTGTAAGCCCTGTCTTTTCAGAGAAAATGCAGTTTTTACATTACAGCCTAGTGATTACTTCACTGGCCACTCCTCAGATAGCTGTTAGAGATCCTTCCTGGGTCATGGCTGCCTAAAATGCATCCAATAATTCAGTGTCTCCTCCCTCTGCATGCAGACACTGAACTTTCCTCATAGAGATTCATTGATTTAATTCATCTCTATGAGGGGATGCTGATAGGCCAGGGCTGTGTTTGAACTGTGCTGGCTCTGCCCCTGGTCTGCCTCCTTGTCAGTCTCAGCCAATCCTATGGGGAAGCACTGTGCTTGGATCTGATGATATCACCAGACGGCTTGCTATTCTGAGGCAAAACAGCATGCAGAGCTACAGCTTCAGACTTGAATACAGTAATATTTTGCAATATTTAGGGAGTCATGAGGGGCCCAGGGGGGCTAGATGGTGGTTTTAACACTATAGGGTCAGGAATATATGTTTGTGTTCCTGACCCTATAGTGTTCCTTTAGGTGAAGCTGACATAGCACACTGTGCAAATGCTCTTGTGCAATGTGGCATGTCCTCTCTCTTTTACACTCACCACATCCACCTTTTCTCTGTCCCAGACTGCATACCAAGATCTTATGTCCACTAATAAGAAGGCAAGGAGAGTAGTGAGCAAGTGAGTGCTGGGGAACAGTCCCCAGAAAGCATAGAGTGAGTGCATCATTAGCATTTGCACCAAGCTCAGAGCACTGTCTGCATAGTGCGCCCTTAGTTGGCCAGCCACAATAATTGGTGGGCATCTTGACATGCAATCACGCCAGGCTGACCTTTTTTTTCCGGACAGACATACCCCCTTTGTGGGCATGTTTGCCTGAGAAATGAAAGCGAGATATTGGCATAAGGTATGTGTCTTCTTATGGGTTGCATCCTGCAAGTTTCTCTCCATTACTACTTCCATCAGATACATGAGGAGGTATGTTTTAGTGTTTTCTCTCGATAGGAGTTTGTAATTAGGCCCATTCTAATTCTCAGCACCAGGCAAAATGGGTTCTTAGGAAATTAATAAATATAAGGAGGATAAGCTTTTGTTAATAAAACAGTAGGTTACCTAGAGCAGCAATCACCGAGAAAGGGAACTGAATTTAGACCTAATTTAGTTACCAGATTTCTACGTATGAATGTTGCTATCTGAACTACATCTCTTAAAGTTCTCAAAGAGCTGTGCTTCCGGATGACAATTACGTTAGTGGACACTGCAGGTTAGGAGGGCGAGACAAAGGGGTGAAACATACATAGGTACAATACCAGAAGAAGGACATTTCTAAAAATGGGAACCACGGAAGCAGGATTAAGTTGCAAATTAAAGCAGCACCAGTTATTGACTGGTAGCTCTGCCCAGTTTCTTTAAGTGTCAGGCATAGGAAATATACAGACACAAAGAAGTCCATACTTTGTCTCAGTATATCTTCAGTGGAATTCTAACTTTCTCTTCTATTCAATTCTAAGGTTCTAAATACTCATTTATCAGAGGGTAGGGGACATTGCTGCTGTAATATATACAATGTCCTTTGTATAGCAAATATAAAATTGGACATGAAAAAAATACAGCAAATTATTTACGTTGAAATATGTTAAATGTGCAAAAGTTGTGTTGGTGCCTGATGTTCCTTTTGTTTGACAGCATTAAGTCTGCAACTCCTACAATTTTCATAATTTTGCTGTTCCTATCTAAATCTCCATTTGTTTGTTTGTTTGTTTTTTCAGTTAAATTGCAGATACAAGCAGAAGAGCGGGGTGTCGTTTCTATCAAAGGAATTGGTGCTAACCGCTACCTGGCAATGAAAGATGATGGCAGATTAGTAGCATTGGTGAGTATGTGTTAAATTACAGTATATTTAATATCTGGTGCACCATCAACAGGATGTAGCTTTTATATAACACCATCATTCATACATTGAATAATAACAATCATTCTTTTAATGTTCTTTTTTGAAAATTATACAACTGAATAAAACATTCAAAATGAACAAAAACTTGCAAATGAGTATATTGCAAATGAGTAGGAGAAACAGAAATATTGTGATGGCAACTACCTAATCACAGGGCAAAAGCTCTGTGAGAAGGTGTTAACTGGAGACTAACACAGAATAAATTAGTGGATATTCATCAATTGTACACTACACCTCACACCACACATCACATGTGTAAATGATCAGAAAAGTAATCCAAAGCCAAATGGCTATACCTCTATGAAAAGTGTAGAAAGGAAAGAAACTGTTTTGTTTTTTTAAATGTCCTATATTGTATGAGACTGATTCATTGCATATAGTTTTCTATAATCAGTCCACCTTAAAGGAAAATTATAGTGTCAGGAATACAAAGGTGTATTCCTGACACTATAGTGCTGGTATTGCTGTTTAGGATCCTGTCACCCCTGACTGTGCAGCGAAAAGGTGAGTTTATACACCATTTTTCCCATGCCGCATCAGTATTGCCTTGGCTGGCCCTGTTTGGTCCTGCCCCCATTGGTGAGATCATCAGTCTTGATAATCTCAGCCAACCCAATACTTTACAATAGGAAAGCATTGGGAGGCTATCGTGTATGGACAGAAAAACGCTTTACAGCATCAATCAGCATCTCCTCCTAGAGATGCATTGAATCATTGCATCTCTATTGGTAATGTTTAGCACCACCATGCAGAGCTTGGAGGTGCTGAATGCCAGTGCTGTATACAAGTTTCTGTTTGAGTGATGGCCACTAGAGGTGTTCCAAGGCAGTGTTTACAGTGCTATCGCTGCAAGGACATGCTGTAGACACCAGAACCACTAAATCAAGCTGTAGTGGTTCTGGTGACTATAGTGTCACTTTAAAGTTCAAATCTGGTAATTTTGGCTGATTTATTTGTTATTCTATTTCAAGGTGTCCAAGAACTGAAAATAATGTAGAATAATGCAATCCTGTTAACAATCCACAGCTTCCTACACTTGAATGGCGTGAGCAAGTTAAATGTCATATTATTTGACTCATGCATCCAAGAATGAATTTAACAGATGTTGGTTGGATTTATGCCATATACAAATATAGAACATAAACATGAAAAAACTGTGCTGTATAGAATAGCTATTAAACTAAATGAGGAAATGTAATAGTTTGGGGATTAGAGCTCTGCCTCAGAGCACATTAGCTCAGCACTGTAGCAACTAGGCGCTTTACACTCTAACATTCTATGGAAAACAGGAGAATCAGAGCTAAGCTAGACGTGCTATACTGGAACTCTGTGGCTTGGGTGGCTGCCATTTAAAGACCTATGTCAGGAAAACCCACCACTCCTACCCAGCTTCATGCAATTTGAAAAGTCATGGCGTAGCTTAAAAACACTGCTAAAATACTGCTGAGGAGATGAGAACCTCTAGCTTTTCTAAATGCACACAAGTTTCCATCTTCCAAAATGTTCCAGCATTCTAGGCAGTAGGTGAAGACTTCCTCTGAGTGTCCACACTGATCTGTTACTGACCTCTGTTTATGTGATTGCTGACTCCTTCGTTCACCATATTCCATTACCCATAAATTCCCAATAAATAACACAACACCATGTTACATGGGTAAGAGCAACGGCCACAGCTTTATTTAAACCGGCTAGTTTTACCCAGCAGACAGGTACACTTTAAACTTCTTCCAGAGCCTCTTCAGTCTGTCCTTCGTCATCGACCAAATTCAGGCTGCGACTGCCCAAGCCAGTCTTGGCATTATTCATTTACCACACCCCTACTGGTAACCACTATCATCCACTTCTAATGCGTGCAACACAGACTTAAGAACCGATCAGTGTGCATGCAGCAAAAAGGAACCTCCAGCACTGGGACGAACCTCCAGATAATGACCCACTAAAACAACTGGACAATAGATGCCACTGGTGGCTCCAACCCTAACCACTACCCCTTTGGTTGGTTTTAGATCGCTGAATCAAAGATTTCACTTAATTTTCACACCAAAGAACATTCTGCCCTGAACTCTAGAAGTAGGAGCCACCAATTTGCAAAGTTGCATAGAAAACACATTGAAAGAGCCACCCGGAACAAGACACTACCAGGCTCCCACAGCCGTGTTCACCAGTAGTCTGGTAACTTTCCCAGAACTCCCCGCTTCCAACTGTCAAACCAACTGTATCCTTTGGTTGCTATGCCAACCCATCAGGGCTGTAGTCATGCTCCCCCCTCCCTATTCACTCTGGGGATTGGTCTGGAAGGCAGAGTCTGCTGAGGAAAGCCTATAACATTCTATAATGGAGAACATGGTTTCTAAACTCGATTATCTTTTTGTCTGTATCTCAAGACAGCAGAAACCGAGCCATTCTCTATTTACCTTTTCAGACCTTAATGTAAAAACTATCCTGTTTGTGTGGATTTCTTGTACAAGGCTAGTAGGGGTCATCCACTACTTATAGTGGTTGTCTAATGGACAGGTGCTAAAGGCATACAGAAACTCAAAATGTAAACACAGCAATACTTACACTATTCATCCAGCAGGGCTCCAGGACCACTACATTAAAGGGACAACCCAGACCCCTAATGGACTTTAGCTTGAAAAGCTTTATGTGGGAAGAGTGTGTTTTAGTTTGTTCATTTTACAAAAAGTGAAGATTTCAGTAGAAATTGCCACTTGTACAAATTAACCTGATTACACCCGCTCTGGCTTTCAAGCAGACAACCAGTCCTGTTACTTCCTGGTTGTTTAGCTCAGTGGAGCTAAACTCAATTGCCCAGAGCACCTGCCTTGCAAAGATTTCTTATTAAGCTGTATTGGAAAGTCTGTGATTGGACAGTCACAGAAAGTCTGGGCTAAACAGTGATATCTATTTATTTTGTATTTGGGCACTGGAGTGTCCCTTTAAGCTGTAGTAGTTTTTGTAAAGGTATTTCCAGTTATATCATTCCTGTCATTGCGATATGTTTGTAACTTTGTATATTACTATTTTTATTTTTTAAAGATAATATAGTGCTATTAATTTTATGAAATGTCTCCTTCAATTGAACTGTGACCAGTATGCCCTTTGAAAATAAATATTTTTGCTAACAAGAATACCTACAAAGGGATATTCACAAAAGTGTGAACTATTGGTAATTCAAAGTGAATTTTAACATTTTAAGTCAAAGCAGCTCAACTGCAAGTATTAGGTGTCTTGAAAAATAATTAGGTTGGTTGGGAATATAGGAGAGTTGGGTAATTTTGCCAATTTATCCATCTGGGCCTCAGTTTTAAAACGCACTGTATGATGAACAAATGTGATTTGTCAGTTGTTGCCAGTGTCTAACAATAGAAATCCATCTACGTTTTTTGTAGCACTTTTTATAACGGAATTTAATGTAATGAAACCACAATTGGTTGCATTCAAGGTTTTCATCTCACTAAAATATATATTGGCATTTATTACATTTTATCCAGTGTAATATTACTTTCAAATAGTGACTTCTAATATGCTAGATTTGTAGCATTGTAAGTTACTTTTGGAATGCCTGAAGACAGACACTGCTCATGTAAGACTTTATTCAGAGAGGCTAGTGTAGAAAATAAAATGATCAAATATAGGGCTTGGCAGACGCATTAACATGCTAAATACAGAAGCTGGTGTTTAAGTTTCATTCCGTATAATAGGCTCCTTATTCCATGGGGCAGGACGGCTTGTGTTTGTAATGCTGGAAGTAGTCAACAAATGCAAAAGGATCTTAAAAACTTTCTACAATGTAAGCACTGCTTTACCAAAAACCACTTGTATTTAAAAATATGTTTTGTGTAAAATATTTTACAATTTATAAATTTCAAATTATTAATTAATGTACTTATTTAAGCACCCTATATCCACTAAAATGCCACATATATAAATATGTTTGTATATATTATTATCATTATTATTACAATGTAGTCCGATGTATATAATAATCGATCTATCACCATGTTCATTACTATGTACATAAAAATACATTGCAAGAATAATGTATAAAGACAAATGCAAATCATGTTATGGATGCACCTGTATGCATACTGGGCTGCAATCAGGGGGATACAGCCCCTACACATATAGTGGGCCCAGCAAGCCTGGCCCCTATATCCACAGTGGACTGGGCTCCTTACTTACACACCTGGGTGAGGGAGATCAAACATCTTCCTTCCAAATCTTTGCTCAGCATGGGCCCCGAAGACTCTCAGCTGTCACCTCTGTGGAAGGCCCTCAGATTACTAGAATCAGTGACTCATCAAACAATGTTCATTAGATACAGACCATTATTTATTAAGATTTTGTGCAAAGAAGGATATTACAAAAATAGATTCACTTAGAATCAATGTCTCTTCTAATGAAACTATAGGACCTTCCAAAATTGGCTCTGGAAAAGCTAAGCTGTGACATACTATTTATTATCCATATTAAGCATATGTTACAGAATATTTAATTGGCATTGGTGGTAGTAAGCTGGGTACTTGTTTTAGGCTATGGCCAATTCTTAGAATTAATTCAGTTAATTTCAGGGATCATTTCTGGGTTTTATGTAAGTCATCCAAATCTTATGATTGGTACTTGAGTCACGATCTCAGTATACAGAAGTTTAAATAACAGTACACCCTTTGTAAAAGGTGATGCTGAGGTTTCAGTTATGTTATTTCATTTTCCACGTTTAGATTCATGTTCCTAATTTCTTTTCCGGCAATAAAATATATCACAACAAAGAAAATGTTTCGATTTTGTTATACCATTGTGTGTTGCCGTGGTTGTAAAAAAATAAGGTCACGTCATGGAAATGTTTCTGTTTTCTGGGCTTCTTCAACGACTATGATCTTGTGTGGGTGTCATAACATCCCAAACATGACTTCATTAAGAGTTTCCAAGTATTTCCTGAAACCAGTAATACATTTGGGTATATTAATTTTGCTGTAGCCTGTGTTTGCACTAACATACCATTAAAAATAAGACTTCTGCCGGCCAAACTATCAAACCATAATGGGTTCACTGACAAGTCACTTACGTTGTATTTTAGTTAAGTCTGCCCATTTTAGTTTAGCCTTCACTCTTTTATATGTATTTTTATGTTTTTAATCTGAAGGTCATATTTTATACAGCTATTTTCCATGTGTGTTAATAAGTAATCCCTCTTCCACTGTTCCCTTCTCGCTTACATCTCCAGTCTTATATACATGTTTTCCACCAGTTGGTCTTTTTGCATAGTCCACCAGTGCTTATATTCCTATACCATAAATTAAATTTCTCCAATTAATTCCCCCAGTACCATATTGCCCTTTGCCCATTTCATCTTCACAAGCCTTTCCCCAAGACATCATCAAACTGCTTCCATCTGGTCCATATACCATTCTCCCTAAACTTCCCCTGCCCTTTTTCTTTCATTTAAAACCTGCCATATCTTGAAGGTCAGGGTCAGGCCAAGACATTGGTCCTTACTAAATACAGTTTATGTAATTAAAATGTAAATCAGAACAGAAAAATAGATTTTTGGCCCAAAATAAGAACTGCCCCTCCTAAATAGAGCTTACATTTTAAATTTCAATTGTCACGTTAGCGAATAACCCTGTAAGTTTGGTTCTCCCATTAAATTTTGGTGATATAATTCACACACTAAGAATGGAAAATAAAAATGCCAAAACAAAAATATGCTATGGTAATAAAACCTGGGAAAAGCTGGAAGTGGAATACTGCTAGTAATAATAATGTTACTGTAAAGTGAATGAATAGTACTGAAATTGTTTCTAATAAACCGCTTTTCAATTTTCTTACCGTTTGGGACCAGGGCTGTTTTTACATTTCTGCTCTTGTGTTTAGCTGGAATTTTACTCTTACTCATTTACTGTACCCACACATATTATATACCGTTTTTCTCGCCATTACATGGTATTTCTAAAGATACCATTATTTTCATCATATCATATAATTTACTATAAAAAATTCTAAAATATAATGAATTAATTTTTTAAAAACACACTTTTTCTAACTTTGACCCCCAAAATCTGTTGCACATCTACAACTGCCAAAAAACACCCATGCTAAATAGTTTCAAAATTTTGTCCTGATTTTAGAAATACCCAATGTTAACATGTTCTTAGCTTTTTTTTTTTTTTGCGCAAGTTATAGGGCAATAACTATCACTTTGCTATTTCCAAACCATTGTAACACTGATATCTTTCATGAATCCCTGAATAATCCTTCACATGTATATATTTTTTAAAATAAGACAATCTAAGGTTACACTTGGGGTATTTTGACTCGTTTCATGCTCTTTTCATACAACCATTTTACCACCAATCTTTGCCTCTTCTCCTTTCTTTAGTGATGGTACAGGATCTGGGTCCAGGTTACTGCCAACTGGTAAGACAAAATGGTTAACTCAAGTCACCAGCTCTCGACTAAGCCACTCAGTCTCTTGCTAGAAATGATCCCAGCGTCCATTTCAGAGGCAGCCCGCCTACTTGATCCATTCCATTTCAACTACTCCATAGTTATAGCTTAGCATATATGTGTTTCAGCCACAACATTAAAAACACTGACAGGTAAAGTGAATAACATTGCACCTGTCAATGAGTGTTATATATTAGACCGCAAGTGAACAGTCAGTTTTAGAATTTCACGTGTTGAAAGCAGGAAAAATGGGCAAGCAAAAAGATCTCAGTGACTTGGACAAGGGCTAAATAGTGATGACTAGACGACTGGGTCAGAGCATCTCCAAAATGCCAAGTCTTGTGGGGTGTTCCCAGTATGCAGTGCTTAGTACCTACTGAATGTGGTGCAAGGAAGGACAACCAGTGATCCTATGTCAGAGTCATTGGGGCCCAAGACCCATTGATGCATTTAAGGAGTAAAGACTAGCCTGTCTGGTATAATTACACAGAAGAGCTACTGTAACTCAAATTGCTGAAAAACATACTGCTGGTCATTATAGAAAGGTGTCAGAAGAAACAGTGCATCACAGTTAGCTGTGTCCATCGATGAAAGTGCCTTAAATGGGAATCAGAGGGTCAGAACTGGGCCATGGAGCAATGGAAGAAGGTTGCATGGTCTGATGAATCACGTTTTCTTTTTGGACCACGTGGATGGCTGCATACGTTTCTGTTGTCTATCTGAAGAAGAGATGGCACCGGATGCACTATGGGAAGGAGGCAGGGTGGCGGAGGCAGTGTTATGCTTTGGGCAATGTTCTCCTGGGAAACCTTGGGTCCTTGCATTTATGTGCATGTGATGTTACTTTGACATGTACCACCTACCTAGAGATTGCTGCCAACCACTTACTCTCCTTTGTGGAAATGGAAGTGGTTAGCAGGATAAAGCACCTTACCATACTGCAAAAGTTGTTCAGGAATGATTTGAGGAACATGACAAAAAAGTTTAAGGTGTTGCCATGGCCTCCAAATTCCGTAGATTACAATCCGATTGAGCATCTTTAGGAAGTGCTGTAACAACAAATCCAATGCAGTGAGGCTCCACCTCGCAACTTGCAGAACTTAAATGATCTGTTGCTAATATCTTGGTGTCAGATACCACAGGACACATTCAGAGGTCCGTGCCTCGAAACATTAGAGCTGTTTTGGCAGCACTAGGGTGATGTACATGATATTGGGCAGGGGGTTTCAATGTCATTGCTTATCAGTGTACATATGAGTAGTGTATGGTCACCCCCTAACCTTTTTAGAGCGCTATTTATTGAATAGTACCCTTGTCCACTAGAATTTGATCTAGTGTAATACAAAATGTCAGTACATTGTCACCCCTTCCATAACTCCATTTAACTGATACATCTATTGTAAATATTTTAATAATTCTTTTGAACTCATTGACAGCACGGAATCTATTCTGGAGCCTGGAAAGTGGAGTAGGTTAAAGCATGTGTTAATGTTTTCCCGGCTTTTGATCCTTGGAGATGTATTCAATCCACAAATGAAATGCTTTCCATGTGGTTTACATTTTCTTGCTGGATCCAATACTTCTGTCTTAATCACCAAGAGAAACCCCCAGCGTGTGATTACAGTATTAGTAGCCTTGGATTCATCTAGGTACACTGCCAGTGTAACTCAGCCGTAATGCGGTTTATACAAAATCTCTATTATGTTGTAAATCATGTCGCATTTTTACTGAAACATTTATTAGAGTTATAGTTGTTTATATGTTACACAATAATACATGTTAAGTTTCTACAGGAAGTATGTAAAGTAAAGTGATTGTCTCCACTGGAGAAACCGCAGTTTTGGCAACCATTGTGCTCATACTGCATTTGAGTAGTTAGATTTGTAGTGTGATGAATTGCTATACAAACTCATCTACTAACAGTGCTGGAAGTAGTTTAAAAAGATGGATGAGGGCAATGTTGATAAACCATATAAGTGATTTAAAGGGTTATTCCAACCCTTTTTAGCTTAACACGTTTAACTAGCCTCTGGCACACAAGTGCAAATAACTCTGTATACATACAGATTTCTACTACCATGACCATTTCTAAAAACAGAAGTGTTCATGGTGGTTGGAGTCTCTATGTGCAGTGTGAAACATTGCACATAAGGAGATTAACTGCTCTGTTGCTGGACTTGTAACTCCACCTCCAGCAATGTCAGTGGGGTGTCATTATCCAGCCCAGAACAAGAATTCCAGATTGGCTAATGTGAATTCTGTGCAAACTTGTTGTCTGATTCCAGCACGCACAGCATGTTGGTACTAGATAACCAATGTGGGACTTAACTACCCAATCCAGTGGAGATTATTACTTCTCCCCCAGTTTTGACTGTGGTATCTTTTGTGCCATCCTATATTGTTCCTAGAGAGTGCGTATTGAGCTACACACAAAGTAATACAGAATGCTGTATCACCATCATAGCATTTTGCAATCGTCTCATATATTGTTAAATTGTACCCTTTATAATATTGTAAAGTACTGCTATATATAATAAGTTGGCGCTATATAAATGTAAATAATAATTATAATGATATGAGATAACCTCTGAGTGGTGTCTCTTATTGACATCAACCTAGGGATGTATATGTGTTCCTGCCTGTAATGCACATACTCATCACTTTTCAACTTGTAAACTGTTTTTGTATTTACTTTCAATACATTCCAAGCTGAGGACTGAGCTATTTCCTGGAACTGAATTCCACACAACAGACATTTTTAAACTAGTTACTGTAGCAGAGCAAACCTTGACAAATACTGAGAACAAGGTTGCTATGACACAGAGAGTTAGCATCCTGGCTCCTGGAGTTTATTATAATGCTTGGAAGTTAAGTTTTCACTTGGGAAATCATTAATTAATACATTTTTATTTACAAGTAATGATTAGCACTTTAAAAAAAATGCAGAGCAAAAAAATTGGGGGGTCTCATGGCAGATATTTACTAAGCCTCATGACTCTTTTCCAAAGTGTCTTCTCCCTCAAAGCATACATATTAGGTAAATAAACAAAATTAACAGATGTAATAAATACACAAAAGACCTGAAATAGATGCTTGGCATTGTTCAGTGCTTGGCCCTTGAATAATCACTTCTATTGTTTAGAAATGAAGCCTCACGATGCTGTTGCTCTAAGATTATTGCTGGATTACGAACACAAGTGCTATAGCTTGCACATTACATCATTTACTTGGGATGCTGTCAAATTACTTGGAGTCAGTAGAGCTGTTGTGCAGTTCAGCTATTAGTATGTTTAGCATACTTTCCAACTGTCCCATTTTCACACTGACAGTCTCATTTTGGCATCCTGTCCTAGGAGATGTGCCACATTATTATTATTAATTCAATTTTACTATTATCATGACAGAAAGTCATTATTTTATTATGACACGGAGGTGAGTATTATGCTGCACTCTTTCTTTAATTCCCTCAGCAGAAAAGAAAAAACAAATTGAAAACAGATATAAACATCATAATACCAATCTCCGCCTAGTAACATGAACATCCAATCAGTGACATCCTTATCGTATAGTAGGCGGAACATCGATGACCACTTCCTCTTTCTTGCAAATCCCGAAGAAGAACTCAAACTCGGAGCAGGAAACGAAACAAGCCAGAACCCAAATGAGCCAGAACAGGGCATGTGATCCAGACAGACATTGCAACATATTCCTGCTAAAAGAAACAAGAAAATATGGTAATTTCTTGAAATCATGGAATGGCAGCATATTTAGAAGAATAATTGCCTGACTAGTCAATGACAATGACTCCTAAAATCTAATAGGAAGAAACCTATCAGTCCTAGGATAGTAACGTCATACAACGACCCCTAATTAAACTGCACCCTATAGCAGGCATATAATGACAGCAACATCGTCAAACCAAACTTACCATCGAGGATAGGTCATTCAAAAAGTAACCTACCTTGTCCTATACCCGAGCCGTCCGAGGGCGGGTGGGTGGGATAATACTCGCCTCTGTGTCTTTAATAAAATCAAGACTTTCCATCATGATAATAGTAAAATCCTTGAAATTTTATTGAAGACCCAGATGCTCCTATTATGCTAGTTCAAAGCTGTGATATCACGACTTCTGCAAAATGCTGAATTGGTTTAAAGTAGAAATTATGGAAAGTAGACTCCGAGGACCAATCAGCCGCTTTTAAAATATCCTCCAAAGGACAACCAGCAAAGGAGGCTTTAGAAGCCATAGCACCGCGAATCGAATAAGGAGAAAAAAATGGAGATATCAATACCTGCCAAGGACATGAGCCATTTGACTCAACGAGCCAAGGTAGTGGAGGAAACTGGAGCATGAGGTTTATGAAAGGAAATGAAGAGTTGGGGGTCTGAACCTGTCCGAAGGGAGGCAGAATGTGCTTCGTAAGCCCGTAGACACGCCACTGGGCAGAGTCGCGGTTTCATGGGAAAAGCCAGGTATATGACCCAACTGGAGGGCGATTTTGTCCTACGTGAAATGTCAAAAACAACTCCGTCTGTGGAGAATGAACAAGCATTGACATTGAGTGACCTAACATCTGACACTCTTTTGCATGAGATCAAACAAAATCGCATAACCAATTTAGCCGACAATTGTTTTAGGGATAAAGATTCGTTATCTGGCCAATGTATAAGAAAGTTTAATACCCGTGAAACGTCCCATAAGGAGGAATAGCAAGCAGGGGTGGCCTTGCAAAGCGAATGCCATGGAGAAGACGACAGACAAATGGGTGGCGTCCAATCAGGGCACCATCAATGCCGGCATGGCCAGTTGAAATAGCTGAGTGGTAGAGGTTTACCGTCCGATATGCTTTCACGTTATCATAAAGGGAAGTCAAAAATTGGAGGACAGTTGTCACAGGAGTTGATAGGGGATCCACATCCTGTGCCACGCACCAACCATCCCATGTGAGCCAACCAGACTTGTAAGACTGTCTCGTGCCAGGTGCCCATGTGCCCTTGAGAAGTCGGAGAGTCGAGTGCGAAACTCCCTTGATCGCCCAGGGTCCCTGGAAATTAGCCATGCCATGAGGCGGAGGAGATCCTGGAGGATCAAGGGGGGGAGGGTCCCATTGGGGTCTCGTGGGAGAGATTGGGAGACCGGGAGGAGCTGTGGGCGATCTATAGCCATCTCCAGTAGAGGATGGAACCAAGGTTGCGACGGCCAAAGGTGGGTTATTATCACTAGGCAACCCAATTGGCGCCGCAGAAGGAGAAGGCAATGAGGGATGAGGGCAAATGGAGTTGTGGCGAAAGCCACTTCACCACTGGGTTTGGAGGGGACTACTTGCCAGCCTTTTACCCTGTGACTATGGCCCCTTTAATTTATTGTGGTTAAGAAACCCTATTTGTGCCTATTGGGACTTTGAACAATGGTTCTTCGAACTTTCGAAGTGGCACTTTGAGCAGTCGAAGTAGTCGAAGTGGCCGCCATTCAACATTCGAACACGTGGCGGCGGCCATCTTGTTTGGACAAACGTGTACAGCAGTGTTTTGTTGTTGAGTTCATGAAACTCAAATCAGACACGCGACGGCACGAACACCGCTGAACAGTTACCTTCCAGGGAACTTCGGCTATTCGAACGGGAGTCAAATGGCGTTTGGTGAGTCGAAGCCCACGAACAAGGGACATACACAGACTAGACCCATGATCGCTTCGTTCAGTAATTTGAATAATACTTAGACTGTTTGAAATAGACTGGATGCACAGCCTAATTCTCTGGAATTGTTTTGGGCATTAAACCATGTGTGAAGTCGGTCAAAAAGAGACTTCCAGGAATCTCCGGAACCCCTGCTCTGATCTGTGTGATTTCTGGATATGTTGTTCACCCAGATCAGGACTACCATGTGATTTATGGGGATATGTTGTGTTTTGGGGTACTTATGATACTTTAATAAAATGTGTGTTTTTCTGCCTGGAGATAATTATGTTAATGCATTATCTGCCTTAATTATCTCCCAGGCAGAGGGGAGGGATTGCGTATACTTTATGGGAGTGTTATTATTGGTTTATTAACTTTGTGTCCCTGTGCCCAACAAGGTCCACGTGGGTGTCACTCTTTTTGGGAAACTTGCATAAAAGGCCAGTGTGCCTCCATTAAAATTGAGTTTCTGCTTAACCCTCAACACGTAGCTTGGTCTCGTGATTGGAGGGGAACTGCTATATTCCCACTGGGGTTTGCTATACTCCTTATACTCTCCTGAGTTTTAATCACTAGCTCTTATCATAGCTGATCCTGCTATGCTCTCTAGAGTAGGAGAGGTCTTTCCCACAAGGTCCTGGAAATCAGAGGTTGGTCCAGGGTGGGAGGAAGATGGCGAGATCCCAGCTAAGCTACGGCGGTTGTGGAGTCTGCGGTGCTTATGGTGTCCAGTGCGGTGCTTACGGTCACAGCGTCAGCTAGGAAGCATCTGTTGGCGGAGGTACCCATTCGGGGTGCAAGGTGATCCGTCACAGAAGGGAATGCATAATTCCTGGCGATGGACCAGTCCTAGGAGAATGCATTTGTAGCCGATGCCTTAGGGTCTGGCCTCCAACTGAAAAAGCTCGGAAGTTGGACATTCAAGTGAGAGGTAAACAAGTCTATTGCCAAAGGACCTCACAGATCCCAAATGCAGCGGAAGATTTGAGGATCGAGGTGCCAGGTGCTGGAATCTCGCAGATGGCGGGAATTCCAATCCGCCATAATGTTGGACAACCCTGGTATATAGTCCGCTCTGACAGCAATATTGTGCTGAAGACAAAACTGCCAAAAGTCTCGGGCCAAATTCGCCAAGACTTAGGAGCTCGTGCCTCCGAGATGGTTGATATAATGGACAGTTGAGATGTTGTCCATTTTCAATAGGATTGAACACTGGGACAGGGTCAGGGAGAGGCTGCGAATCGCAAACAACCCTGCTAGGAGGCAATTTATATGCAACGTTGACTCCAGTTCCGACCATTGTCCGCCTGTGTAGACATCTCCGCAGTGTGCACCCCATCTGTAAGAACTTGCATCCGACTCTATGACTACATCTGGAACCGAGCCGAAAATGGCTCTGCCATTCCATGCCTCCATGTGTAGGAGCCACCAGTGGAGTTCCTCCTTCACCTCTGCGTCTAGTGTCACAATATCTTCATATGAGGTGTGGCCCCTGAGGTATGACGCCTGTGGGCCCGGAAATATGGCTTGTATGGAGGCAGCTAGGAGTCCGATCATGCAGGACAGATGCTTGAGAGAGAATTGTGAAGTGGCAAGAATGCGCCGTATCTCTTTATTGATGTTTTTCAGTTTAGACATTGGTAGGTAAATCCACTAGGAAGCCCAGAAACTCTATCCATTGAGTGGGAATGAGTATGGACTTTTCCCAATTTATAATGAAGCCTAGATTTTGCAATAAGGTTGTGCTCCAAGCGAGATGAGTATGAATTAGAGGGACCGATTGGGATAATAGCAGGATGTTGTCTAAATAAATAATTAGACGAATCCCCCTGACTGCGGAGGAGAGCGATAACGGGCTTTATGAGCTTGGTGAAGCACCAAGGCGCGGAAGAGAGACTGAAGGGAACCGCCATTTCCTTCCTTGCCACGTGAATTGCAGGAAATCTGCCATGGGCACCGTGAGGTAGGTCGAGTTTGACCATTCAATTTGATGGTTGGAGTAAATCTTTTAGGCAATAAATTGCCTTCCATCTTGAAATGATGGTAAGTTACATAAGTATTTAGTTGTTTCAGATTGATGACAGGGCGGATTCCGCCTAAAGTTTTTCTTCCCTGACCGGGAATCAAACCTAGGCCACGGCGGTGAGAGCGCCGAATGCTAACATCACTAGACCATCAGGGAATCTAATAAAAAAGTAAGGGGAGCACAGAAAACAGGGAACCATCCGCCACTAACTAATCCTGGACACTAACTCCGACCAGGAGAAGGAGTAAGCTTTCCAGAGTAGAGGGGCGGGAAAGCGTGTAAAGAAAATGGCTGCCGCGAGGTGAAGACACCAAAAAGATGGCTGCCGCGGCTATGTAAAAGGTCCGTGAAACGTATGGTTTCGGGAACCGAATGGGCTACCAGCGCAAACCGCGCTATGTGAACGCTAAACTGCCAAACCTGGGACCAAGTGAATGCGGCTGTATGAGCGTTCGGGATTTTTTCCGAACGAGAAACAGCCAAACTGCAAAATGGCCGCCAGAGGCGCCCCTGACGGGACACGCATGCACGGCTCAGCGGGAAAGGACACAGAGATCTCTGAAAAACAGTAGGGAACAAATAGATCGTAGAGGTCGAGAAAAAACCTCTCCAGGACTTTAAAAAGGGATGGGGGAATCCGATTAGGGAAAGTGAAGTGATAAACCTTAAAGGGGAAATACAGTTTGGTATAAACCAATAAAATATAACAATATTGACAAAACCAGCACCCAGAGGTATCAGTAAGCACAATTAATGAGACATAAATACAATTAGCATATCATACAATAATCATAATAAAGAAGATCCCACAGTCAGAAAACTTAACAGAGGGAGCAGCAAAAAAAGAGGAAGTGGTCATCGATGTTCCGCCGATAGGACTATAGGATAAGGATGTTGCTGATTGGACATCCTTATCCTATAGTCCTATCGGTGGACTATAGGACTATAGGATAAGGATTACGATGTTTGTACCTGTGTTCAGTTTGTTTTTTCTTTGCTGCTGAGGGAATTAAAGAAAGAGTGCAGCATAATAGGAGCCTCCGAGTCTTTAATAAAATTATGTTATTATTTATATAGCGCCAACAAATTCCGCAGCACTTTACAGTGGGTGGACGAACAAACATGTAGTTGTAACCAGAGAGTTGGATACACAGGAACAGAATGGTTGAGGGCCCTGCTCAATGAGCTTACATGCTAGAGGGAGTGGGGTAAAGTGACACAAAGGTATAAAGTTACACATACCTAGCAACCACAGGAACTGAGCCCCCATGTGGCCTCTGTGCTGGGAGAAAGTGACCTAACCTCACTTTCTCTAAGCATACAGGGAGTCACACATGGATGCAATCGAAAGGAGTACCAGGGACCTGTAGGTGCATTTGTGTTTGGCCCTACACAAAAATATGTGTGAACCCCTTTGGAAAGAGCCCAGTCCTAGTCCATATCATTCAAATAATATGCGGGTATCAGGTTCTAGACTGCTCAGGTGTTCAAATTTGCAGTAGAGCACCAATAACCAGTATTGCCCATCAGTGGATGTCAATTTTTTACCCCCATAGCTGTTTGTAGTAGAGTAGGGACACTTGCTCTGTGAGTGTATGAATGTGTATATATGAAACAGTGTTTATGTGTATGTGTAATAATATACTTGTGTGTGTATATGTAACTATGTGCATATATCAGTGTATGTGTATCTGTGACCTGTAAACTCACTTATTCCCAGGAATTCAGCTAAACTGTCAGGGGCCTGGACGGCTGTTATAGGGCCATCTGACTGGGCCCCTAATCAAACTTGCCCATCGGATGGCCCACACACTTAAGCTAGCTTGTCCCAGTAATGCCACAACAGCTACAACCCCAATAGTTCTGCCACTGCCATTAACCCCTTTGCAGTTACAGGGAATCTGTCTGAGTCTAAAACTAATTACCAAAAGTCATGTATTAATTTTTGCAAATATGATACTAACAGAAGATTTCATGGAATACAGATGGCCTCTAAAGGTATCAGACTTCGCACACAAATCTGTCAGTGTTATATGATATATCAATAAATAGTATATATAAGGGCTGTAAAACCAATATAATATCCATTATTAGTTTTCTGCACAGAGAGTAAATCTATTTTTATAAAAACCTTTTTGTCCTAAAATGTTAACTATTTGACTTGGCAGAATTTCAATAACAAAAAACTGATTTGGGGAAAAACGAATTAAACAAATCAAAAAGGCATGAAAATGGGCCAATCAGTGTACTGCAAAATATATACTTAATATAGATATTATGCATATATTTTGCAATAGAGGAGTGTTTTCACCAACATTTAGTTCACAGATCAAATGAGAAAAGTAACCAACAGATGAAAAAACAGGAGGAGCAGTAAAAAATAATAATCTATATTCATATATTATTTATTAAATATATAATATATAAATATTGGATTTTTTTTACAGCAAATCATCAATCATTTATTTTTTTAGTGCCTATTGCAATTCAGAATTAGGAATCAAAACGAATTTGTTTGACCTTTGTGTGTTTCATTTGATTCACAATTTGGCTATATTTCAGCTCGGAGTTTGGATTTTCAACCAATAACCCGTTTGGCCCAAATTCAGACTATTCAGCATGAAACAAATCTCCCAATCTACCCGTTATTTTACATAGTCTACAATAACTATTGAGGACAATATGTATACAATTATTATATCTTGTAGTAAATATTGAGGGGCATTTTAGGACGTCATTGTGCAGATGACAGAGCTGAGAACTCTGGACTTGAAACCATATTTATTCTTCTTTCTTGTCTTCCAGGTTATGTCACTTGTAAAGAATTTCAGTGATATGTTTGGCCAGAGAGACAGACAAATATGAGTGGGTGTGGAATGGATCTATTAAGGCATTTTCCATAAGGTGTGCTAGTAGGGCTGAACATGTGAGCCAAGTGCTTTCCATTATCTGCAAAGTGGAAACTTTCATTAACCCACACATAGATTAGTTCAAATGAAATCTACACAAGTCCATGTCCAAGTTAGATATTGTTTTGATGGAGAGGAGAGGCCAGTGATGCTGCTAAAAACCGTCATTAATCAGTAGGAAATAGCTATGAAGTTCAAGTTTACCATTTTACAGTCATACATTTATTTTCAGACTTTAGTATCTCAAGGGACAAACAGTATCCACTTTTCCCTGCAGAGATATTAATACCTGCTGGATTTATGTTATATAGAACCAATAACTGTTTAAAGGGACATTATAGGCACTATAACTATTTCACCTCGTTGGATTAGTTATAGTGCTTGGAGAATACAAAACAGTTGGGTAAGTCTTGCTATAAATTTAAACGCATTAAACTTATGTGGTGACTGGCAAACAATTGCTAGCCAGCCGTCACAGTATAATTTTCAAAAAAACTTTTTTAAAGCCTATAGGAGTCTATATGAGCCCCATATTACTATAAGAAAGGTATGAAACCTCCCTTATGCCCTGACCTGCCATGGTGCATTACAAGCTCAATGTGCTGTCTTGTAAATTATAGTTTTTATTAGATTTTTAAGACTTTTTAACTGTTATACATTAGGCGTCCATTTCAGACACCCTGCGAGGGGTACATGGGATACTTAAAAAATATCACTTCCAGGGGCATACAAATCATGGCCGAGGTGTTCTCTTTATGGACAGATTTAAAAAACTATCTAATTTCTAGACATGCCCAGTAGTGATGTACCGAACGGTTCGCCGGCGAACGGTTCCTGGCGAACATAGCATGTTCGCGTTCGCCACGGTGGGCGAACATATGCGCGGTTCGACCCGCCCCCTATTCGTCATCATTGAGTAAACTTTGACCCTGTACCAAGTTAGTCAGCAGACACATTGAAGCCAATTAGCAGCACTCACTCTTACCACAGACCCTCCCATGTTATTATTTTGAAAGTGCCCTAAGTGCCCCTTGACTGCTTACCTCCAGACATTTTTTAAATGAAATCTTGTTTTCTTCAGCCACACAAAAAGTCATTCAATCCATACTCTACTGTTAAAAATTAAGAAAAAAAACAAAACAACAAACTGTAAAAAAAAAGTGCAGAAAAGATAAAAACGGCACCACAATAAAAATATCCACTTAAACCCTGCAAGGGCTCCACATAGACTGTGCTTTCAAGGTGGAAAAAGCCTTTTTCAATCTGATTGCTTGTTTGACTTGTAATCCAAATACTCCCAGGTAAGTCTCGTGAGAATGGAGACTTGCCTGTCGTGGTGCTCTACTGACATTTCAGGAAAAAACATTTATAAAGGCTTTTCTCGCCTTTTTTTTGTGTGTGGTTTTTACTTTGTCTTTATGTTTTTTCCGGTCCAGGTCTTTGTTTAACTTTTGATGTAGTGTTGGGAAATAACGCCACTAAATGTCCAAAGGCAGTCCACCCCCTCTGTTTTTTTTAAAATACCTCTCACCCACTATTTATAGATGAAGAGTAGGGGGACACTACTACTGTCCACGGGTGGGAGCTGGAAGAGAACAGTTTAGTGTCCCCCAGTTAATTATTAGAGCCCCCATTTGGAGCTCATGGGTGAGAGCACCTGTGCCAGGTCCCCATCTTCATTGGATGAGGCTGTTCTAGCATGTGGGCAGAGTCACTAGGTTTTAATTATGCGCAGCTGCTGGCTGTTTACTATATAGTAGACATGCTTGTATACCTCCCTTGTACTAATATTGGGATCACATTGAACCTCACAGGCTTTTAAAAAAAAGTTTTCTTTTTTGTTTTTTATGTGGAATTCTGAATAACAAAATATACAAAATATCCTTTGCCCGTGTCATTTGTTTCATAATCCTTTCAAATACGGTGCTCCTGAATTGCAGAATTCTGACAAATTGCTCATCAACTACAATTCTGATGAATTGTGATTCGTTTGAAACTAAATGCAGAAGTTTTGAAAATTTCCATGTTTGTTTCCCTATCTATAGCATTTTCTTATTTTCATTGTAGCCTTTTCTGTAACAAGTGTGCCATAAACGGTTTTGGATTCTCTACAAAGTCTAGCTGTGGGAGAATGGACATGAATGTCAGTAAGCGTGTTGGTTGGGTCGGCAAGTTTGGATGATAGCTCCTTCTTCCAAGCTAGATTGTAAATAAAGTGTCCCTACAGCATAGGTTTGGCCATCGCTCACAAAATGTTACAGCTTTCCTACTACCATAGGTTGTCATTGGTATACTTTAGGCAGCTGGTTTCTGTATACGATTTTAATGAGTAGTAAGAATGTGACAGGAATCTCCTGTCATGGAAGCATGAAATAGCTGTATGCAGTTTGAGTTGCAACTTTATTGCGGTATGGCCAAAAATGGTTAGATTTATTTGTGGTGTCTTATGAGAAGTGAAACCTGGGAGAAGAGATAAGGGAATGCTTGATTCTGGGAAAGGAATCACAAGGTGGAAATAATACAAGTAGATATATTGATGAATTTAACAATATAAGATGATGAACTCAACTCTTAAAGAACTCAGTCTCTTGGAGCTAGTGGTTCTGGTTGTGCATCCTCCTGAATATGACCTATCAAGGACTTGGTCAAATCTGTGTTGAAATCCCCTTTAAGTATAAGATCTCCATCTAACACTTTGAAATATAGCTCTGAAAAAATAACTTATTTCTGCGTGGTGCATGTATGTTTTGCAGCATGTAGACAACAATATGTAACGATAAGGAGATCGGTGTACATCTATGCTCGGCGTCAAAGAAAATAATTTATACGCCAAGACTTTGTAGGGGAATTGCATGAATAATTAGATTATATACAGGTGATACTCGAAAAATTTGAATATCGTGCAAAAGTTCATTTATTTCAGTAATGCAACGTAAAAGGGGAAACTAATACATGAGATAGACGCATTACATGCAAAGCAAGATAGTTCAAGCCTGTCATAAGTGTTTTCACAATATTCTAATTTACGGAGATTGTGGATTTGGGGTTTTCAAGAGCTGTAAGCACTTATGACAAATCACGGCTTGAACTATCTTGCTTTGCATGTAATGCGTCTATCTCAAACATTAGTTTCTCCTTTCATGTTGCATTACTGAAATAAATGAACTTTTGCACGATTTTTTGAGTATCACCTGTAAATTCTCCTATCCACAGGGTACTGGAGTGATCGGACCTCAGGTTTTTTGAAGAAATATAAAATCAGATTGTAGTTAAAGATGTGTAAGAACTTTTTTTCTGTTTTACGAGAGATTAACACCACAAGAGTTCAAGATAAAAAGTCAAATTTGTTTTATAAGAAATGGGAAGTCCCATGATACCTTATTTTAACATGCCTAGTTTGAGTCTAGTAAGAACCTCTCTCTCTCACAATGCTTTATAATTGAAATTTTCCTTATTCTGTTAACATTTAACTACAAAAGTTGTCATGGTATGTACCATCATTTGGTAGACATTTCTCTCTCATTATCTAGTTTTTGCCATCCAACTGTAATCTTTGTAATGTGTGGAAAGCTTTATATCATGGAAAATAAGCATACTATTCGGTAGATACCCAAATTACCAGGAAGGTGCGTTTACTATGTAAACAAACATTCCATTAAGTTAAGTACTTTAATTTTTTTTAAAATTTTTTAATCGAAAGCTTTTGGCTAATTAAATTATTATCTCAATTTTTCTGTTTTGAGAACTTAAAGATATCCAGCATTATGACCAATTAGTGGCCAGACAGGCGCGGTATAATAATTACTATTGAATGATTCATAATAAACTTGTCGATTGCTCCAATTCCTTGGTCCCTTAATACTACTAAAATTACTAACTTCATATGGAGGCGCTGCAAAAACACCCAGAAAGAACCCTGATGGTTTTTATGTATTTTTTAGTTTTCATAGTTTTGATTACTGGTTCTTCTCTTATTATTATTTTTAAACCTACTGATATGCTTCCTTATATGTTTTTAATGGCTGCCCTAGACTCACCGGATAGGCTTTAAGGGAACCGACCTCGGAACACAATTATTTTCACAAATGATGTTCACTAAGCAGCCCCACTGCTTCCCTAACTTCCGCACCCACATAGCTCACCGACAGAGACCAGGCCATGAGGAGCCCGCTCACTCCTTCGTCCTCCACCCCCCAGGGTCACAGGGGACACTAACCTACTTGGCAGACTGCAGACCCTCGACCCCCCCCTCAAGGATGCGTTCCACATCACATAGTCCCCACATATTAGACAGGCGGACTGCCAGGTACACGATAGACCACTAGACAAGGCATACACTAGCAGCAGGAGGAACTCGCACGACATTACCCAGACCACTCACTGCCCACCACACACACTATGTCACCACTGTAATGGCACACTAGACAACATCCATACATGCCTATAGGGACAATGTTTAATTATTAAAAATGTGCAGCCTACAAACAGCCATATCTTTGACCAACGATGATTGTTATTATTACACTTGTTTCAGCTAATATGGCATTTTACAGCATGTAAAATATCTAGTGCACGTGAAAAATAAAGAATTAAAAAAAAAAAATACTACTAAAATTAAACTGTTATTCAGACAAATAATTCTTTGGGCAGCAAAAAGTAGATTTAATTTTCTGAAACACATGTCCATCCATTTAAAGATTTTCCAGCCAGTCATATTATCCAATTACATTATCTTATCAGCGATAATGAAGGGGGTGTAAATTTTGAGTTAAAGCAGATTTGTTTTTCATTAAAAAAATAATAAAGAAAGTACATTTTGCTACAAAATAACTAACAAATACACAAAATGAAAAAAAAACAGCATCTAAAAGGATGTGGAATTGGGGGTGGGGGGCTACTATGGAGTATCTAATCCTAATTAGGGGTTCCTTGAGGACCTAATAATTATTTTAAACTTTTAATGGCTCAATGCATTTTGTTTGTGAGGAATGAGGTAACCATTGATTTTGCAGACCACCCTTAGTGAACAGTGAGTGCTGGGAACCTATTAGGGATGCCTGCATAGGCAATATCATATCTGGCTAGGATAGGGCCATATTCAATGGTTCTAGATTGACAGATAAGCTGTATGCAGCACTAAAAGTGAGCACTGCATACAGCTCTTTAAAAACTTTAAAATCACGGCGGCTGCATGCCCCTTTGCTGATTGCCAACAGAGCTTAGCAGTATGAATGGTAGAGGCATAAGCATTATAGGGAGATTACAGCCACTAGACGGAGGTCACAGACCACGTTTTCAGCTTGCATATCCTTCTGCTGATATCAGGGTTAGCTTGGTGTAGTATTAGTGTACGTTAAAGGAGCACACATTTTTATTCCTGGCCATATAGTTTTAAAAACCCATTTTAGCCCCCCTTAACATGAAAAAAACCCCAAAAACCTCACCTTTATTCCAGAGCCACAAGGGTCTGCCAGCTTTGGCCAGGCTCCACCTCCTTGGCTGAGATCATCAAAACTGATGATCTTAGCCAATTCAATGCTTTCCTATACTAAAGCATTGGGAGGCTAATGTGCCAGCGCGGCAAAAGATGCGCTGGCCAGTCAGCACCCCCTCATAGAGATGCATTGACCCACTGCTTATACTGTTAGTGTGAGAATAGGTTTAGGGGTAGGGTTAATCTAAAGCTAAGGGAGGGGCTGGTACAGGGTTAATGTTAACTACCAAAAATGTATTTTAGATCTTTGACATATAAGGCATTTAACAATCAGAACTGGTGAGTATTTTTTATTTATTTTTCTTTAATTGCACTTGACGTGTAAAAATTATTATAAGCAAATGTTAAAAAAAAATGTTTTTTTGAAAATGTGGTTTTGTATTTTTAAATTTTTATTTTTTGAATTTTTTATTTTTGCAGTGCATATAATGGATACAGACTGGCTTGAGGTACCCCAAAGGCATTCCTCGAGCTGCTTAACATAAGTAACAAGTAGGGTAATCGCTAGGCAATGCACAATTTTATAGTATATAGTAGCAATAACGTTGGTGAAACATAAGAGTAGTAAAATAGAGTAAGTAACAAGCGTATGACATATCCCCTTACTGCTAAGAGATAGGTACTATGTGTAGATAGTCATGGTAAGGTAAGGGGTACAGTAGAGTTTACCACCCCAGACAGCCCCAACACCCTGGCTAGCACCCTATATGAATGGTAGCAGATTAGATTGCATTACCCTCTGGACCTGTTGTAGCAAGCAAAGTGTAACGCTATCAGGTAACACAAGTATGGCAAACCAGAAGTCCAATATGGCCCCAATTCTGGGTAGGCGCTGGGGTCAGGGATCCATCTTGGTGGTCATCCTATCCCCCTTGTAGGGAATGTAGTGACCCAGAGTGCTTGGCTTCTCAGGCTGTCAGGCAGGGGAGACATCTTCATATTTTTGTGCAGCCGTCGCTTTCTACTCCCCTCACCATCCCTGTGTGTTTCCTTCTGCATGGTGCTGGGGTTAAAGAGCTTCAGGGTTTGCCGGCCGGCTAATTTTACCGCCTTACACCGCTTAGGCCGTCGTCGCTGGCTCCGGTATGCTGGGCTCGCGGTGTGTGCAGCAGGGCGCTTCGTGGAGTAGTGGGATGGTTCAGGAGGTGCCTTGATGGTCTCCGTGGGTGTCAGCCTGCTCTCCAGCGCCCTCCAAAAGGCGTCGAAGATTGCCTCCAGGCGCTGGTATGTGTCAGGTATCTCCCCTCCAGGAGTCAGCAGACGCGTGTCGTCCGCCATCTTAGGTAGTGCTCCACCTTGCTCGCGGGTGTTCGCGGCTCTGCTGCGGCTCTCCGATGGGGTTTGGGAGCCATCAGGGTGGGGACCGGGATAACCCCCACCGGTCCAAAGGGGGGGGTAGCAGGGCTCCAGGTACATGCTCAGCACTTTGATCGCGCCAGTCTGGGAGAGCGGCCGCCTCTCCCCTCCTCAGCGCTCACTAGGCCTCAGTGGATCTTGGTGTCTGGAGTGCTTGAAAAGGCTGCTAGAAGCATTCGCAGGTCGGGTCTTTTTACATGTAGTTGGGGGTAAGTCGCTTGGTGCCCAGTTTTGGATATTTCCGTCAAAATAGCAAGTTTGCTTAGTGTGTTCCTGGGAGCTCACAAGAAACACAACCAGTCACCATGAGTGTCAGGCCCCGCCCCCTTAAAATTTTATTTTTAACATTTTATTTATACTTAATGTTGTGTTAGGTATACAATGTAAGGTATTAAAAGAAAGTCATTTCTGTCTTTAAAAAAACAAAAAACAAAAAAAACACCTGCATATCGCGAAACACACCATATCTCACCCACACAAACTAGGACCCCGACCCAACCTAGAACAACTTTCATGATGTACACATCAAAACCCCAATAACCAAACGCAAGGACAAACCAAAAACCCAAGACACCAAAGGATACCTAGCCCACAGCACATGTACACATAACTCTACATACAGAGATCAACGGGGACAAATAACTACACAACGGACAGACGGAAACCCCCCCTAACATCACCCCACCCCACGCAACACACACACATAACACCGACAACCGAAAATCCTACAACACTGAAGTACACACAACTTAGGAGACAACACCACCAAGACAGTCACCTCATCTCCAAACACTAGGACACAGAACACCACATCCATATGAACCTCTCCAAGCGAGACGAAAAGATCCGAAAGTCAGACCACTCAGGTCCTAGCACTACGAAAAGGAGAACCGTTGTACAAACATTGTGTAAAACACATTGTGTTATGCTGTTAAATTTCAGTGTAACTGAGATGATTGTTACACCACCCCTTATTTCCATTCTGTACCCCAACCTTTTTGGAAAAACTAAAAAAAACACACAAAAAACCCCCCCCAAAAACAACACTCTTTTTCTAAATAAATGAAACCAAGAATGGCTAGGGCCGCACTCACCTGAACATGCATATATTATAGGGTGCTGCTGGGGCCAATTTGTACAACATACAAAATACACAATTCAGCACACCCGCTCATTCACTAAACAGAGATTTCAAATCTCACAGATTGTAATAGTTTTATTTAAAAACATCTCAACCAGACAAAAAATAATGGGGGTTTAGTTACAGTATATACTCATACATTGCATCGTTCTGATCTGTGAGACTTGAAATCTGTGAGACTTGAAATGAGCGAGTGTGCTGGATTGTGTATTTTGCATGTTATATATATATATATATATATTTCTTCTTGAAGTCAAGTTATGTCCCCTTGCATTGGGTTTAACTATGTTTTTTGAAAATCACCTGCAACACTCCCAGGAAAAATGTCATTTGTAGAAGTGTTTTGTAGCAAAGATCTCAGAAGTAATTTTCCATGTAAACAAATTGTGTGCCTGCTGTCTAATACATATTGACGCAGCTGCTTGCCAACTGTGTGTTAAACAGCACAAGAAAAAAAAATCATAAACATTGTTATCTTTCCTCTGATATGAAAGCCATGTATACAATAGGAAATAAGCATAATTTGTTTTAGTGGTTTGGATTTGCACTAAAATCTGCACTGTTTATATGTTGCAAATTAATTTGAATGGCTGTTTACAATAAATGATTCAGTTTGTATAAATATACTGTAATCTAAATATAATTTCAGTGATTAAGGGTCACCAGTGCAACTACATGTATTCCTGACCCTATAGTGTCAACGCGACCATCTAGCCCCTCTGGGCCCCTCATGCCTCCATACATATAGTAAAAATCTTACTGTATTCAAGCCAGAAGCTGTAAATCTGCATGCTGTTAGACTCAGGAAAAACAAGCAGTCTGCTGACATGTGATAGCCTGATCCAATCACAGTGCTTCCCTATAGGATTGGCTGAGACTGACAAGGAGGCAGGATTAGGGGCAGAGCCAGCATGATTCAAACACAGCCTTGGCCAATCAGCATCTCCTAATAGAGATGAATTGAATCAATGAATCTCTATGAGGAAAGTTCAGTGTCTGCATGCAGTGGGAGAAGATACTGAATCACAGGATGCCTCCATCAACTCAGAAGTCCTTCTAGTTCACTCTGAGTTACTGCAACTGGAGGTGTTCCTAGCTTTCTCAGAAAATACAGTGTTTACATGAGAAAGGCTGCAGGGAGCTATAGTGCTCACCTGAACAACCTCATTAAGCTGAAGTTGTTCATGTGACTATAATGTCCCTTTAAGGCACAATATAGGTTGTGATGAAGGAAAGACCAGTGCAATAACTACTACTAAAAATGGTGCTATCTATAAATGTACTAGCCCATGATGAAAAATAAGCACAAAAAAAAAAAAAAAACACAGCACTTCCTAAATGATAATCTGCAAAACCATTTTTCTTCTCAAGTTTCAAAAAGTAAAACATAAAATAATCGAATTATCCACGTTCATTAGTTGCTACATGATATATAATCTAAGTGCATTATTTGTTCTATATGTACATATTTTGTGGGCAAATCAACCAGGGCCCCTTTAGAATCAGTGTGTCAAGATAACACTCTTTCAGGATCTGGAAGATAGCACATTCCTTTTAGAGAATCATAACAATGCATTGCTTGATATCCACCCTAAGGACGATAAAATAAGTACTGTTATGTTTTCTACAAACATCTTGGAGGAAAGACGAGACAGGGGGATATGATAGAAACATTTAAAGGGTATCAACACAGAAAAGGAGGAGACTATATTTAAAAGAAGAAAAACTACCACACCAAGAGGACATAGTCTTAAATTAGAGGAGAAAAGGTTTAAAAATAATATCAGGAAGTATTACTTTACTGAGAAGGTAGTGAATGCATGGAATAGCCTTTCAGCTAAAGTGGTAGCGGTTAAAACCGGGTATGGAGTTTAAGCATGCGTGGGATAGGCATACGGCTATCCTAACAATAAGATAAGGCCATTGACTAATGACAGTATTTAGAAAACTGGGCAGATTAGATGGGCCGAATGGTTCCTATCTGTCGTCACATTCTATGTTGCTATCTATTAAAAGTCCATTTGGTTAAACGCCAAGCACTTTTTAAAGTGATACTGGTGTTATTGGTGTAAAAAGTTAAACATACTGTAATTTAGAAACTTAGAATGTGTAGTGATACCTTCACTTATTCAGGACAGTGTGAAGTCAACACTGTATGCATTGTACCAGAATTGAGAAAGAATAAAAGTTGTTGCCTTTAAGTCTTGAGGACATTTTATGCCATGCTGAAAATAGTGCTCTTATTGTCCCTGGAATGTGAATGTTCTACAGCTATAGTGTAAGCAGGATCACCCGAGACTCTCCTCTAGGCCATCAAATATGACTCTCTGTTGACAAAGATAAGAGTGGATGTGCCAAGTGCTCAAAGTGAGCACTGTAACATCCATTAAAAATTATGTGTCCAAACTTCAGGCATGTTCAGCCATGCCCCACATCATCATCAATTATATTCATAAAGTATATTAATAGAAAATAGGTCCAGGCACTCAAGGTTTCTTCAAAGTTGCAGATTTATTGCAAACTGAATGCACAACGTTTTGGCCTTCACAGAGGCCTTTGTCAAGCTTGACAAAGGCCTCTGTGAAGGCCGAAACATTGCGCAATCAGTATAAATCTGTCTCTTTGAAGAAACCTTGAGTGCCTGAACCTATTTTCTATGAACATCTCCTAAATTGGGGTTTTGCCAACCAGGTCTTCGATGCACCTGGTTTTCATTGTGAGAGTGCGGTATCATTTATGTTTAAATCAATTCATAAAAATGTCAAAAATATATTTAGAATGTTAGTGTTCCTTTAATAAGAAAGAGGAAAATTACTGTTGGACAAGCAGATCTCAAAATTCTCAGTTTTGTTTTGGTTACAAAGCTAAAGCGTCTACATTTTAGAAATAATAATCATCTCACATAAAAATGGCCTTCCTCAATAAAGAATTAAAAGTTTAGAGTTTTGTGTTTTTTTGAGAGTATGGTTATTTCAGTTAACCTGCTGTAGTGCTAATAATATGAGGAGTACCTTGGCCTAGTTCCCCGGTGATTGGGCAAACTATCCCCCTTACCTGGGTTTTCACCAAGCATTTAAGCTCCTAGTATCCCTGGTTATGGGCTTTTGGCTTCTACAGAAGCCAGAGCCAATTCAGTTGTTATTCATTCACTGAGAGCGTCAGCTGACCTTTCTCAGCCAATAAATGGCACACTGTGCATGACAATTTGCACAGAATTAGCCAGCTAATGATGCCCCAATGACATTGACAGAGGTAAGGTTTCAGAGTGAGACAGTGCACATATAGACTCCTGGCACCATGACCACTTCAAATCACTTAAGTGATCATAATGCTTGGAGTAACTTTTTAATTTGCAAACAAGGCTGCATGATAATGTCCAATCAGGTCAGCTGCCTGCATTTGTTAAATTATTTTATTTTCTAAGAGTTTCTGCACAGTTCTGCTACATGTTTATGTTGTAAACACAGTTTCAGGCATTGTTTAACACTATTCTGGCTATTTATGTGATTAATTAGAAATTATATGTATACAATTCTACTCTGCACTTAGTGTATATTTACAAATATATATGTATGAGATGGTAAACTATATTGTGATACTTCAATTTACATCATATACTAAATAGATTTACCTTTGGATACTGTTCTGTTTTAAAGCAGTTAGGCATTTGGAAAAGGCTCTTAAAAGGAGCTATCTATGCACTAAAAGTCATAGTGTTTATGGTGCCAAAAGTCCCCTGGAGCGTTTCATGCCATGCAGTCAAATAATTTTCACTCTGAAATATACCTTGATACCTGGGTACCTCTGGTCCAGTCCCCAATCTCAAATTTATATAAGCTGGAAGTCCTGCTTCCACATTAGATTCATTAAGTGTATACCTATATGGATGGAGTTCATAGGCCGACAGCATCAGCTTAATTGATGTCACCAATACAATAGTAGATATATATAGATACACAGATAGATAGATATATATATTTTTTTATTAAAGAAAGGAAATTGTCCTTTAGTGATATCTGGGGGAAAAAAGGGGCCAGACCAAATAAGTCCAGGGAACCCAAGTATAACCATTCATTTAAATATTTTTTTTCCTAACTACCTTGGGATGGCACCAGGGGACTTCTAGCACCACAGCCAAGAACTCTATCGGTTATGGTACTTAGACTACTCTTTCAAGAACAATTGCAAGGGACATTGAATTTTCTAAGTCTACAGGAGAAAATATTGTGATTTCAAATTCACTGTGAAATATTTAAAGATAGGAACATATATTAAAAAACATGAATTGTATTGAAGAGCAACTTCAATTGTTAAATTGCTAGATAAGAATGTAGTATGCAGTTACTAAAAAGAATAAAACAATAACTATAACTTTGAGGACAAGAGAGCTGCAAAATATCCTTCTACTTAATTAATGATAACTGTTTCCTCCTTCCCCCCCCCCCAGAGACACATAACAGATGAATGCTTCTTTTATGAACGACTGGAGGCAAACAATTACAATACTTATCGGTCACGGAAATACAGCGATTGGTATGTGGCACTGAAGAGGAATGGCCAGTACAAAAATGGAGCCATAACTGGACCTGGACAGAAAGCCATTCTATTTCTTCCAATGACAACAAAGAGCTGATCTCATGGACAATCAGAGTTTAAAAGCATACACTATTTTACCAGTAACAAAGTATCAAAATGTGATTGCGATACAACACTAGTATCATTGTACACGTTCTTCAAAATGTTCTTGCAACATTTTACTGACAAATAGCAAAATAAATCAAAAGCAATGCCACAAACTATTTTTTTTTTTTTTTACTGTATATACACATTTAGATACATAAGGCATTTTGTTATTACATTCCACAAATGTAAAAAAAAATTTTGGGAGAAAAAAAAATACAATTATAGTTAATTATTCATATATGAAAAGTCTTAAATATATATTGAACTTTATTACAGTGGGTGGAGTAGACCAATGTATTCATTCAGAACTGAACATGTTGTTATTTATTGAATCCTCTTAGGAAAAGGGGTAAGGCAAAGAAGATATGATGATGGTTACATAATGTTGTCCATCATGAAGGGGTTAAAATGATGGTCAAAGATAAAATCTTCATGAAATACTTCAGTAAACTCTGTCACATTTAGGGGGTGTGGGGCAGTATACAAGATCCCTGAAAGTGACAGAGATGCTTTCAAATATGAACAAATACACCAAACACAGGAGAGGGATTACATTTTAAAATCATTAAAGGTCAATAAAAACAGAGAATGTCGGCATAACCCATAGAAGAAAATGTAGAAATGTGATGTCAGAATATCATTTGTTTTAACCTTTATAGTTGCAAAATGTATAACATTTACGTTTCCAAAAACAAGAACAAACAATATCAGATAAGCGTATGTGCTCTGATCAATACAAAACATTGAAAAATGTTTCTTCAATTTATAGTATAACGTTTGGAGTAGCGTGCAGCTTAATGGGCATTTATATTATATATATATTTCCTCTTATTGCCATTCACCAGCACCAAGGTTTAGAAGAAAATATACGCTCCGTGATTTTAAATATATATGCCTGAGGTATTATTTGAGGTATCGGTCAGTAATTTAATAATCAATGGTTGAATTTCTGTAAATACTTCCTTGTGTGTAAAATTGTATTGTAATAGATTTGGTAATAGATCATTAAAATGTGAAGTTCGTTAGAGGTTACGTTTGGTTTCATAGGCCTCTGGTAGTTCTTTATGGTACAGTGAATAGAACAACCCTGAGTAAATAGCTGGAAATGTCCTTATAGTTAGGTCAATTTTATGGAAACCTTCCTTGTGCCCATACAGTAGCAGTTTAGCTATCCTGCTGGTGATGGGAGTTGTATTGCTGCAGTAAGCAAGCTCTTTAAGGTCCATCCATTCACATTTTAAGCATTCCTGGGGGCAAAAACTTATCTCATAAGACAGTGGTTTCAGTCGACAGATAATATACATATCCGACTTTCCAAAAGCCCCTGGGTGATTATGTTGCTGTCGTATGCTCAGAAGGGATTTAAACTCTGACTTAATGCCAGTTTCTTCTAAAACTTCTCGAACTGCTGTGATACCTAAAATAAAAGAACAATGGACATATTTACTAGTGATTCTCACCCTAGCGTTGTAACAGCTTATTCTAGATTTTTCTAGCAAGGAGCCCTCAGAAGTCAACTTCTGCAAATACATGCCAGTCATTTGTTGAAGTTGAACAGATATTGAAATAACCCAAGAATACTTTTAGAGGTAAAACAACATGTATATATATACATGAGTTGAGAAACACAACTCTAATGCACACTTTGGAGTTAAATATAGAATGAGAAAATCTGGAGCAAAATTCTTAAAATGAAACAATCAGCAGGTACAGCAGGTATGTTCCACAAGTCTCCATGGTGAGTGCTCATTTTTTTTTTTTTAACTTTGGTTAAACTTTAAACTTCATATATAGCCCCCACTTTGTTCTTTAAAAAAATGATTAAGCTAGCTATTGGGATCTTAATATTCATGTTAAAGGTCTGTAAACCATATTCATTATACTCTGAAACAAGTATATGATTTAAATTCTACTCTAAGTAAGGTCATTGCCAAGGTGATCAAACAACAGATGTAAATTTAGCCTCTGAACTGCAGATCATTTTGTACATAAAATACATTAGGCATGTAAAATAACAGAGTGTGAAGCTACAATTCTAACTATAGAAGACATTTGCACAGTCTTATCATAATATAAATCGTCATTGACTCTTTCAATATAACTCACTCATTGATTGCCAGATGTATAATATTGCTAGTACAACATATAGATGGCCATTTTGCAATGACCTGACCCCTACACAATTAATATAAAGGCAAGTTAATTATTTGTTAAACTTATGGTATTGTCATGTTATTTATACATTTTGTTGATGCATTGCATATTAATAGCATTGTTATAGTCTCCGTTTCACCATTAAAATATTTAGATTGTAGATCATTTTATCTGAAAAGGAATGACTTCTATAATGAAGTAGGATGTGCTGTGCACTCTAGGAATCTATGTGTGATTCTAGCAGAGTCTGGGTGTACAGTCATCTAGGACAATTATGGCTGTGACAGAGACTGTATTACAGCTGACTGTAAAACCAACCAGTATCAATTACGCTTCCTCAGTTAGATCTCTGTGGTTAGCTCCAGTCTGCCCTCAGTAACTTATACCAAGCCTTATATTGATGCTCAGTCCATATTAAACAATTTACCTGCATGGTTTAATGTGAATGCTCAAAAGTGGTCCAGTAAAGCAAACAACATCAAACCCCTAATTTTTATTCAGTTTTCAGTCCAAAGGTTAGGACATCCTTGTGACCAATGAATATAATATTTTTATAGATTATCTCAATTTAATGATGCTCTTATTCATTAAGACCTTTGATTTTTAAAGGTCTTTACGTTCTGAATCATCACGCATAGCATGATGATGCAAAACACAGCTAATGATTGCCACACATGCACCATAGATACTTAAAGCATCTCTATGAGAAGCATAAGGTTGGACAAGAGATCATCAGATGACCTCAGTGTGTGCAGATTAAGGTGTTTTTGTGCTGAATTGAAAATAGATTTAACTGCTTTTTTAAAACAGTTTTTGTTATTCTTAGTCTTAAAATTATTAAGAGACATATTTAAAGTTTAAATACTTGGAGACATATGGTTATTACGTTGATGCAGACTCAAAAAAACAAAACTGTTTTTATCCAAACTATCCACCACCTCGCTCCCTCTGATTTCCAGAAACATATTCCTGGCAATAAATACTCTATATGTCCAAGTTTGAAATGATTTGATCTTGATTTCAGAATGGCAATCTTTATTACCATTTTTAAACAATAGGTTAATTTTACAATTGACAAAATAAGGAGTCCTGTTTAGTGGAAGATTTGATGAGAGTGGGAGTGGTGCGGCACTCGGAGATGGAGAAAACATTTCTACCTCCTGAAGACCTACCTCCCATATCAAACAGCAGCTTTAACCTCTGTATGTCCATGAAAAATATAGAAAAGTAGAAAAATATACTCCATGTGTGCAAAATTCTTACTTAGTTTTAGATGAAAGGGAAAATGTTTTCACTCATAGGAAAATTGAAAGAAAAATGTGTGGGGTTTATTTTCTTAACAGTAGGTTGATATCCAAATGGAAAAATCTAGGCCATTAAAAAATAATTGTTAAACCTCACAGCTTGGGTATATTGAGGTAAATGTTGAAATATTGGATTTTAAATTCACTGCATTTTTTTTGTTTAATGAAGAACCCCCTTTGATTGTAACAAAGATGTTTTTTGAACTAAGAGAGTGCTTAGAATGACTGCTACCACTGGCACTGCCCATAAGGCATAATCTGTTTCTTTACCGTAGCAACAACACTAATCTAAAATAAAATAAAGGACACATGCAAGGATACATTATTTTGATACCAACCAATGTCCTCTCCATGATCAGACAATCCTCCAGGAAACTTCCATGAATTTACAGTCTGCAATGAAAGAAAACATGCGTGACTTGTTTTAAGTGCAAGACTTGATTTGGAAGTACATAAAGAGGTATACAAAGATTGCTCCTAATTATAAACTGGTGCACTTTTAGAATGTTTTCAGATGGAGCACTGTTTCTAAAGAGATGTTTTGTTAGCATGTGGATATGATAAAATCAAAGCCTTCATCCCATAGCATATGTTGCTGAACATCTCTCCTCATTTTCTACAGCAATCCAAAAGTGCATTTTTTTTTTATAATGTGTTTATGCAATAGGTAGGCATCACGCAGTAGTAACATTATAACAAACATAATTAATAGTCAATAGTAATGGCTGGATGATAAAAAAAATAAATATATATATATATATATATATATATATAATATGCACAATTTTTAGGGTGGCATTTATGCCAATAAAATATAACTAATACAAGTTTCAAAGTGAAAAAAAGCCAACACCTAATGGAAAATGCTTTTAAGCTTCTAAATTAGTGCTATATAATTAATTGTATATAAGTAAAGGGTTAAGAATAAATCAGAATCATGTGCTTTTATTATGGCTTCAAAACTAAATCACCACCTATGTTTTAAATCACAAAATGAATAATCTCCAGCATCTATCAAATCTTTCAAATTATACTATTATCATCTGAAAGCAGCCCAACTGCAACTCCTGGTTGGTTTTACAGCAAGTCGTGCGGCCTAGTGGCTCAATGAGACAGTCTATGCATAGTCTGTATGTATACAGTTCTTCCACAAAAGTATCACACTAAAAGTAATTATATGCGGCAAGCAGTATAGAAGGACAAGTAAACCTCAAATCCAGCAACATTCATTTCTAAAAACTATTAGCAGTTCTAAGTGTAATCATCATAATACTTGTATGTTTGATTCACCTCTATATCTAAAGTCATTAACATGGCTGGATTTACATTACAGGTGCCTGTTGAAAACACAGACTTCAGACCCCCACAGACAGACAAATACATAAAAACCTAAAACCATATACAAATTTGACAACTGCATTTGTATATTCATTTATGTATGTATTTGCATATTCTTGCTGCAAATGGATTGTGTTTGAATCTGTGAGTATAGTGAGGTTATGCAGCTGTGAAAATGAAGACAGGGTCAAAGATAATGTTAGAAATGGATAAGGTAAAGGCTTGAGAGGGGTTAACATTGCAGTTATATTACATAGTGTGTTTAGCGTTAAGGGGGTTAAAAGCTTGAGATATGTTACAAGGGGTGTTTAAAATTATTGGATTTAGGATTAGAGTTGGGTTAAATTTTGCACATTGGTACATGGTGTTTTCATTTTTTTAAGTGGTTCCATCACTTACCAGGTTTTGCTCTTAAATTAATCCTTTTTTTATTCCTTTGTCTCTCTATTTTCTTTCAAAGTCACATTTTCTTTTTTAAATTATACATATGAACACATAGGGACCACTTTTACTCCTCCCCACACTCCACATAGGATTAAGTTAAAGGGCTTGGTTTCTGGTGTAGGATTTGAGTGCATAAATCTGAGACTAAGGAAAGAGAGTTTGTTTAGGTTTTGAGAGGGTTAGGAAAGAAAAAGTGTTTAGGGTATAGGCATGTAGAGTGTAAAGGGTTATTTGCAAACAATGCATGGAAGTTTGTTACAAAGGTTACAGCACCCATATCATAGAAGAGAAAGAAGCACTGCTACAACAATAAGGTTCCAGGGGATGTAGATGCTACCAGTCTTTCTTGACAAAGGAGCTCTTCATCCTCCATACCTAGTAAGCGTTTTTATTGTTTTTGTTTTCTTATATGGGGCATTGAGCTCTTTATGGCATGTTTTGACTTATTTGTAGCTGTCGACATACTTTAAAGAGATTTGGACAGTTTAGATGTTGTTTTAAATTAGGCTTAATGCTAATACAATAATTGGTGTGTGTAGGGGGAGGCATACCCTCCTATAATTAAATAGTAGAACTGCAGAAGTTGTTCTACAGTGTGCACTACTCAGTGCTGTCCCTGCTCCTCCGGCAATGCATTTCTTAGCCTCACACACAGACTGGAGAAGCAGAGACAGCACTGAGTTTTACACCCTCTATAATAGTTCCTGCCGCTCTGCTATCAAGATCGGAAGCGGATTGGTCTACAGAGGACCCTGTTTAGGGCTCCTTGTATTTATCTCCTCTCGCCAGCCCACCTGAGCTCTCAAAAGGCACATTATAGGTGGTTAAAATAGACACCTTTACAGGACAGGCACATGTAGGCAGGTGCAATGCTGCATAACGGCAAATCCAGCCCTGGACACTAACAGAATGCTGAGTGTTCACATGTACTTTACTTTTTGAGAAAATATGTAATATTGCTGCTAGTCATCTGGTTAAAACAAATACTGAAAACATTCTGAAGCTGCTATATCAAGGAATACATGTGTCATTGTATGCTTTTATTAATCACCAATTTATATACTTTGCCTTTGTATAGTATATTTAATCTGATTTTAATATGTAGTACTGTTTCTTAGTGCACTGATGTCAGCTATTAACAAAACGTTAAATATTTAATAAAAAAGTATAGTTAAAACAAGTGAAATGCTAATTGTGTGTAAAATTCTGTACATTAAACATACTAAACCAACTTCCAGTAGTAGCTTCTTTTAATCAACAGAACGACTCTAAAATGTAACACGAGAGCAGGAAGGACCATGAAATATTTTTATGTTTAGTAGAAGCATGCTAAAGTGGTTTATGATGAGCTTTATGTTCTCTGTGTACCGGAAAACTATTGCTCCTGGTCCATTAACCCCTTAAGGACAGATGACGGAAATATTCCGTCATGATTCCCTTTTATTCCAGAAGTTGTGTCCTTAAGGGGTTAAAGGTACAATATTTCCCTTCGTTTGTGAGTTCACTGGAGAAAATGTGGATTTATTTCAGAACATTCACACTGCAGTTTCTCAGGGAAACTGCAGGTACATGAAGTGTACTGCTTCCTGTGAATCAACATTCGGCAAATGAACCCTGATATGAGAGGTAAATATTTAATCACACAGTCACCAATGCATGTCATCACATAAATTGAGAGCATATCTGAATGTGCTTTATATGAAGCCTGTGTTTTTATGTCATCCTAATTGCAGGGGGGCTGTTACAAAGAGAAAGAAACACTGCTACAATAATAAAGTTACACTGGATGTAGATGCTAACAGTTCCTCTAGACCAAGGAGCTTTTCATCCCTGTAACTCTTAGGTGTTTTATTGTTTTTGTTTTCTTAGATGGGCCACTGAGCTCTTCATGGCACATTTTAACTTATTTGCAATTGTTGCTATACTTTCAAGAGATGTGGACAGTTTAGATGTTGATTTAAATTAGGCTTAGTGCTGATCCAATAATTAGTGTGTAGGGAGAGACATGCCCTTTACAGATGGTAATTGTAGGTTACCTTGATAGTTGACCCAGGTATTTAAGGTTCAGCCATATACTACTTACAGGTTCTAGCACACGTTTAGGCTATTGGGATGTTTTGACTCTCAGATAACAATTACGTATTATTGGCTATTGCTTCAAGCTGGCCATCAACCGCTTTTCTTTGAAAATATTTATTTATGTGTACCTGAGAGTTTTGACTGGCCAAATCACCAGTTAGTAGATAACCTCACCTCCCATTCATTGCCATTACCTAGGTGTTATCTTGCTTTTCTCCTTAATTCCATTTATCTTTTTATGCTGCTTTTGACTCGTTTATATTTTTACTTCAACTGGTTTCTATGCTTTACAGCGATTTTGTTTCAGTTTTGCTTTCTTAGTATCCCCCTGGTGATTATTTGTATTTTTCCTTATGAAATATATAGATTTATGGTTCCTGGAAGAATTTATATTTATTCTTTTAACATATATAGGCAAAGGTTTGGGCTGGAAATCTGGGCAATTAACGCCATCTGCTCGCTTCCTTATTAAGCTTGCATGTTACATATTCTAACAATTCTTTTGTGTTAGTAATACTCAATTGACGATTCTATTAAATAAAGTCTGAGTGGGAACAGTTAACAAATAGGTTTATTACATAGATATTGCTGCTGTTAAGAAATATAGCAACATTTAGTTACACTTTATAGGGCATTTTGTCATTCTGTTTCCTTCAGATTTGCCAATTAATCTGTTACTATTTATCTTTTCACTGGAACATTTATCTGTCTGGTTTTTTTTTTTTGCCAGATATACTGTAGCTTTATCATATTTAGTTTAAGTCAAGTTGTTCTGGTGCTCTCAAACAGTTTAACCCCAAAGTTGCCTCCAGCACTCATCTCAACTCCCCCCAGTCGGTATCCAGATTTTGACATTTCAGTTTCAGGAAGTTTAAAATGCTGCCGGGCAGGGGTGCAGCTAATTGACTGAGAGTTCTCAGCCAACCAGCGGCGCCCTCCGGCAGCACTCCTAGAATTTCAGAAGCTGGGTGCCACCTAGGTGGAGTTGAGATTGGCGCTGGAGGCAACTTTGGGGATAAACCATTTGAGAATAGTTAAATCCCTTAAGGTAAGAGTGCGTCTGGGAGCTTACTGTCACCATAACAACTTAATTTAGATAAAGTTGTTATGGTGCCTGAATTGTCCTTTTAAAGGAAAACTCCAGTGCCAGGAAAACAATCCGTTTTCCTGGCACTGCAGGTACCCTCTCCCTCCCACCTCCCATCCTAGGTAGCTGAAGGGGTGAAAAGCCCTTCAGGTCACTTACCTGAGACCCCGCCGATGTCCCTCGGCGGTGGTTTCGGGTCGGCGTCGCTCCTCCCAGTAATCAAGTCGGCTGGTGAGTGAGACTGAAACCGCCCGCCGGCTGAGAAAAACTTAATGCGCATGCGCAGCAATGCCGCGCACACGCATTAGGTCTCAACATAGGAAAGCATTGAAAAAGATTTTCAGTGCTTTCCTATGGGGAATTGAGCGACGCTGGAGGTCCTCACACAGTGTGAGGACGTCCAGCGATGCTCTAACAAAGAAAATCTTTGCTATGAATCAGAAAGTGCCCTCTAGTGGCTGTCTAGTAGCCAGCCACTAGAGGTGAAGTTAACCCTGCAAGGTAATTATTGCAGTTTATAAAAAACTGCAATAATTACAGTTGCAGGGTTAAGAGTAGTGGGAGTTAGCACCCAGACCACTCCAATGGGCAGAAGTGGTCTGGGTGCCTGGAGTGTCCCTTTAAGGGTTAAGACATGACAGCTCTGGTGCAGTCTGGCTGGTTGAGATTCATGGACGGATACACTCTTTGTAGATCCTTTTTCGATTTTTTTTTCTTTTTTGAGTTCCCCATCACTCTACCTGACAAGAAGATCTAGTGGAACTGGAGGCACATGAGAACTGTGTTCAGCAGCCAAACCTGCTCCCTTCAAGGCGCTAGTGGAGTTTCTTCAGCCTACCCACACCCCACTCCCTTTTACCTGACAATCTTAGTTTCAGACAGAAACACAGCATCATTGTGCAGCAGCAGGAGAGAGAAGTCTGACACAGGATGGACCCTGCTCTGCACTAATCACATTTGTCTTACTCCCTCTCTCTTCTGGTCCTGCCAGATTTTGCAAGGTGTACATGTGTAAATTTGTCAGGTGTGCCCCATACACTTTTTTCAGCTTTCCTATTAGATCAGTGTCCCACCTGGACTGGGTGTGGAAAGCATAAGAAAGAAGAATCAAATAAATATAAAAAACATCATTACTTGCTTTTTTCAGCTTTTTCAACAATAAAGCGTTTGAATGAGACAGATGTCTCAAAGTGATGCAGGAAGAAGTGGTATGGAGGACACTGTTCTTTTTTATAAACTGCCATGATCTTGCCACCTCTGAATTGTACATATATTCATATTCTATATCTGTTGTTACAACCAGAGGTTTATTTAAAGAGCACACTGGATTTCTTTTGAGACACCATGCAAGTCACTGGAAACCACTGGAAAATACATTTCTTTTGATTTATGTAGCTATAAAACATTTCCCCTTGAATAATTTCTATATTTAATTGGCTGCTTTTTAGTGGATGTGCAATGTCAAGCAGCCAGTAGGATAGAAATGATACAATGTAAAAGTTGTACTTCATTTACTGCCTGATCCATGGAAAATAACTCTCCTCTGGCTTCTCACTTTCCAAGCCTTTATGATAAAACATTCATGTACGCACTCAATCTAGCCAACTCATGCTAAGTGTTCAGGCCATGCACAGCACATTTCTAACTAAAACAACAGAATTCTAATGCCTGTGTCAAAACGACTCTTTTATGACTTTACTCTAATTTCATAATTTGCAATTTTGGCCAAAAGCAGTTTGAAGCAAATTAATGATTCTAAAGAACAAGGTGTAATTTATAAACTGTAGGTATGTATTGATGGTGTCCAAAGAGGGCCTGCCCCCAGGGACATTGGTTGGATATGACAATTGTGCGCATTTACCACCTGTGAATTTTTACTCTTAGCATTGCTCTGCAATCAGTTCTTAAAGGGACACGCATCACTTGGCAATTTGGGAGAGAAATATTTACCTGCTTTTTGCAGCCTTCTGAGAAAGGCACCTGCCTCATTTAAGATAAAGCGAATGAGACACGTGATGCATGTTCCTTTAAGGATGCTTAAGATCTGGCTGCGGTCATTCAGGTAGAGGACCATTTGCTACATTGCTGATGCTGAACTTCATTTCCTTTTTTCCCCCCAATCACTTTTATTAGAACTGATTCCTGCACTGGAGGTTCAGTGTTAGTTGACAGGAAATGCCGGTACTTTCACTAATAATATGGAATCTTATGCCTTATTATACGTTTTTGCATTTTAATTTCAAATCTCTAAATGCCAAAAAGAGCAAGCTATGCATTATTCTACAATGTGTTTGTTTCTTTTGGCACTGAAAGGGTTGTGAACAAGACTCTTGGGATAAAGAAAGCTTTATGGTAAAGAACAGGCTAATTGAAAGAGATAACCAACACTAGATCTACTGTGGAATGCAACTTTCACATAATAAAACTGAGACACAAACACACAATGGCTCAAGAACCCCTTAGTGACATAATTTCTCCCTAGTAGGTGCTTCACGGGTTATGTATCTATTATCTCAAGTGTTTCTTAAGGTTAGATATACCCAGTTTTAGTGGGGGATACAATCCAGGGAAATAGTTCCTACTTGCAGCTGCCAGTATTACCTTGGTGATATGATAGCAGAGGTTGGGGAGATAATCATAATATTTCTGTTTACTCTTTCCTCTCTCTCAACGTCATAAAATAACAGCTGAATCAAAATAGTTGTACTGTGTGATGTCAGTGAAAACAAGATGGTATCACCCACTGTAGAGCATTGGATTTGAAAACACAATCTGCCTATTAATATAAATAATTTGGGTGTACTTCAACATTAATGATTGTGAGAGTTGTATATTAATGCATTCCTCCCTCTAAGCACGAGAGATTTAACTTTGCCTCCAACACAGAAATAAATGTATTCTTAACTGCGGCCAATCTTAGTTCATCGTCAAGAGATGAGGCCAGGATTGAGATTAGGGGCCTGTTAGAGGATTTGTACTACATAGCTAGCACAAACAAAATTATATTTTCTGCTGAGCAAACCAGCCCATTCCTGAAAAACCAACACTGTGTGATCAATCAGGGTCTGAAACCCTGGACTGTCGTATGAAAGCCTCTTTTCGTGGTATTCATTAGCTGAAGCTCGTATCTAGCCTCAGGATAATGCTAGTGGGCAGAAGTCTCCTGCTGAGGAAATGGGAGGTACTAGCCAGAAGGTTGGTCACAATTTACTATGAAATATATACATAAGTGACTCAAATTAAAAAACATGTGGTTGTTAGTTAACAGGTTGTTAGTTAACAGTTAACCTTATATATATATATATATATATATATATATATATATGTGTATGTATATCACAGTGTGTTTTTGCTATATAACAAAATATGGTTTCTGACACACTTATTACCAGCTGACACACTTATTACCAGAATACATCCTCATAGTTGACGTGCATTGAAAAGTAGGGCAGAAAAAACACATAAACAAGAGCAAATAGGTTACATAATAGACAGAGCAGCTCTGGATCTCATTAAAAGCAGGAGTTGTGGCCGCAGACTATAGTTATTAGTTTGAAAGAGGATGTAAAAATTGCCCCTGTGGTTTAATATAATAAAAGTAATTTGGATGATAGAGTTAGTAATGATATACAGCTGGACTTATCAAATCTAACAAGCACTCATGATTGTAAGTTATGATATGCTCTAAGTAAAATCCCTATCATAAGTAGCAAGTCATAAAAATGTTAACATACGTCTTAGGTTTCATTTTTAACAATTATAACAAAGCACAATGTAATCACTGGTCAGTCCAGCAGCAGAAAACAGGTAGAATTTTGAAGTGCTATACTGGAGTTATGCCTCGGCTAAAAGGGACACTATAGGTACCAGAACAACTATAGCTTAGTATAGTTGTTCTTGGGGGAATAGTATAGTCAGTTCGTGCAGGCTTTTTGCACTAAACACTTCAAAGAAATGGCAGTGTTTACACTACAGCCTAGGAACACCACCAGTGGTCACTTCTCAGACGGCCACTATAGGTGCTTCCTGCTGCACAGTACTGATGATCAGTGTCTCCACTCTCTGCATGGAGACACTGAACTTTTCTCATAGAGACGCATTGATCTTAAGAATTGACAATCTCAACTAATCCAATGCTTTTTCATTGAAAGTATTGTGATTGGCTAAGATCATCACTTAGCCATCAGACTGTAATAAAGGTATTGGGAGGGAGGAGTGGGAGGTTTAGATAGTGTTTTTAAAACTATAGGGTCAGGAATACATGTTTGTGTTCCTGACCTTATAATGTTCCTTTAAGGTCAAACAATTTAGGAATCGTTTGACAAAGTTTAGGGCAACCCCAGGAGCCTGCCCTATTCTTGACCGCACTTATACTTAACATTTACACAATATTAAAGTCTAGAACACAAAACATTCTGAATTACACTTTCACTTTAAATGGTATTAGATATTAAAGAAGCTCATTATTGAAGGTGGTAGCAAAAGTATATATCTGACTCATGATACATATTAAATTACCTTATTTCTGTCCTGCACCACCAACACTTTGCCTGTGTCCTCATCAAAAACAGCACCTAAAAATAAATGGCAAAATTATTGGCAATAATAAATTAATGAAATCAGAGAAATTACCTTACTGACAAGCAACATGAACACAAGTGCAGGTAGCTTTTAAGCCACTTATATAAAGCTACTACTAACACTATGTTGTTATAAAATATATATTCCCCCTCCCCCCCCCTCCCCCCCAAGGTCACTCGTGAGAATTGTGTCATATTTCTAGCAAATTTGTTAAAGCTTTATATGTAAATATTGTAGCCTCTCTTGTTCCAATATATATTACACACATACATACAGTATATATACACATAGATACACACACACACACACACACATTGGGGTTGTGTCTGGCATATACAATGTAAGATCATATACTGTAACTAAATCACCATTATTTTTCCTAATTATGCAAGCTTTGTAGCTAGTGTTAAGTGAGTGCGTGCACTGGATTGTATATGGTATACATGTACACCTATTACACACACAGTGCTGTACAATCAAAAGGAAAACCATAACCAGCATAGTTCAGCACCAGATATAATTAAGGCCTCAAATTATTATTTTGAATACACTTTTAAAATTACGTTTTCAAAATATGAAAATATCAAACATGTCACATAAAATTATATATCAATATTTAACTAAATATTTTTCTAAATATTAAATATTACATTATTATAAAAGTGTATCCAAACATATTAAAGAATTTGAAGCGATTATCTATTTAAAACTATAAAAAAGATAAGATGGCAGCATCCAGACAGGCAGCCCCACTGTTAGTCTGAGAAAGGGGTCGTGCACAGCATTCATCCAAGCCACCCACTGCATGTTACGGACATAGGGGGAGAGGAGACAAAGCACTAGTTGCAAGACATTTCAAAGTAGTACAGATTTGATGTCACAGTAAGAAAAAAAAAATTGCAGGATTATATCTACAACATTTTTTTTTTCTTCAAATGATTGCTAATATAACCAACTATGTGTAGGGAACCAGAAACTATTTCCTTTTACCATAACATGAAATGAGAATAGGTTTTATAGTGCATTGAGTGTCCTTATGAAGGTACCAGTTGGAAATACATTAAGATGCATTTGAAAAATGTGAATTACCAGATGACACTATACCTTTAATAAAAGAAAAAGGCAGAGGTGATCGATATGTTTGAAAAAATAAATAGGTAATAATTCATAAGGAGGATTTGATCCTATGAATACACAAATATCTGCACAATAGAAACACAGTGGTCAAAAAGACATAATAGTATACTGGCAGCATATAAAATCGAAAACCCCAGCTTAGTTCTGTGGTTAAAAGGGTGAATGTCACCTTAATGTTACATGGCCATTGTACAGACCGTGACTAATGAAAACGATAACTATACTTACTCTATTTTAAATAGTTTTAGCAAATTCTCTTAAAATCAATTAAAGACAAAGATATAACTTACAACATGCCATAGAATCTCTCAATTGTTCTTGAATTATACAGACACACACACAATATATAATCTAGCAAGCAATGATAGCACTCTAGTGCTTAGTTTTGAGAGAAAAAAATATCTTTTATTGCTGTATCTTAAAAGTTCAACGGTTCAATTTCAATACAAACCTCTCATATATATATTTTTTAGGTATATCACAATGTGTTTTTGATATATAACAAAATATGGTTTCTCATAAATGAACAGAAAAAAAAAAGCCTCCAAAAAGAATTGTTTTTTGTGTTAATCACAAAAAAACATGTTCCAACATGTCTAACTGTTTATGGAAACTTAGTTTCCATGTCTGCCCTCTGCTGGTGTATCAAATTTCATGATAAACCGGAATCAAATAGTCAGTAGACATAACTTTAAGAAAACTATTATAACATTCATAGATTGCAATACAAACAATGAGCACATTTTCTTAACAAATGATAAAGATACAGACTATTCTTTAGACACTTTAGTGATAGTGTATTTCAAAATGTGTTCTTAAAAACGGACACTGTTATGAAAATTGTTCATTTACGTAATCTACTATACTTTTTGGGGGGGGGGAGGGGGGGGCAAAATCAAAGCAGTAAATTGTTTGTTTACAGTAATCTATTGCTTTGCTAAACAAACCTAGATCTTGCTTTATAGTTTTTTATTCTGCTGAATGTTAAAACAGTTAAAACAGTTGTCAGTGTTAGGCAACCTGTATTGGGGTTACTGACACAAACGGGCCAGTTTACTAGTTTGTCTCATCTAATTTTCAACAATAATGGAAAAAATTTACCTTTACAATATAATGTATTTGAATCTAGCAGAGTTAGTGGAGCGGAGTATCCGAGTTCTGCTACAACCACTCCCTTATGCTTTTGACACTGCTCATTATAGGCTTCTTCTTCTCAACCATTACGACCTCCTCCTACTTCTCCTAGCGCTCTTTCAGTGTCTTCTATTCTGGTGCTTTCTTTACTCCACAACATATTTGTTGGTGTTCCCCAAGGTTCTGTCCTTGGTAACAGTCTACGGCCTCCCTTGTTAAACTGATCACCTGGTTTGGCTTCCAATATCACTTCTATGATAAAGACATTCACATCTATCTTTTCTGGGGCGGAGCCTGATCTTCAAACTGATCAGATGTGTGCTGAGATAGCTCCTGCTCAAATTTTTGAAAAAAATGCCGGTTAAATCACAACTAAGGGGGGAGGGGTATTAAGCGAAATCTGCCTGCCACACGCATTATTCTTGACCCACACCTCCCTCACTTGACAGGGGAAGTTGTGCTGAATCCATTGATGCCCTTTTTCCAACCCGCGAAGGTGCACAAGCAGCGGTGCCGATCTAAGGCATCCTACACACTGGCCCTCACTAGCTGGAAATCACTCCTCAGTGACTTTGAGGACCCAGACGAATCTGACTGGGGCACCGTTACTCCAACCGAGCACACACCAGCCATGGGACACTGCTCACAAAAGTCAGGGGCTGGGATCCAACCCAACAACAGGGATATCTGCAACTGTATGCTGAAGAGGCAAGTACCACACAAGATGGCGCACACAGAGAACCTCCACAGCACACACACCAGTAGGAGGGCAGGGAGTACAGACACCCACAGCTTCCCATGGGACACAGACCTCCACAAACTGACCAATCCACTTCCATGGACACCACAGATGGGTCAGCACCTACCACCAAACATGACCTTCAGCTCCTACTCCCAGATATCCATAAAATGCTGGCAGCAGACACTGATATCATCACAGCAGATGTGAAAAAATCACAGCCAGAGTTCAGACTGCAGAGGAAGATATTACTGACAAACACAGTGGCATGAAATGAGACGGCTCTTGTCATCTATCTTACGTCCTGCTGTGGCTCGGAAGATCGTCCTGGATGGAATACATCGTCTGCCTACCTCACTCAGAACATAATCCACTCATGCATGAAATGTAATTCTCAAATGCGCTTTGTCTCATGACAAGGGGCACATCATGTCAGCACTGAGGGGGCAAGACACCGCTCTCTTTTGAGGACTCACAGTTATCCTTTTTTCAAGATCTAACCAGAGCCACACTACAATGGCGCAAATCCCTCAGCGAGATCACGCAGCGCCTGCACACAGCCATACGCCATACAGACGGGGAGCGACTAGATCCTTAATAGTGACCCACAACAGGATGACCAATACATCGCTGGGATAATTGGAACCGACCCCAAGCACAAACCCGCAAGCTTCAACCAGCATCTGGCCACAGTGGTACCCTTAACTCCAAGGAACGCAGCGAGAAGCTGACCTTACACCTGACTGCGACCAGTGCTGATGCTGCAAGTGCTCCCAATTTGTTTCTCTGCTGATATACATTTTTATGTTCATTTCTCTTATTTTCTTCTCTTTTGCTTTCAATGTTCTACCTACAACACCGCTATCCTGACAGGGGTCTTAGACCGCCACCCACCATGCGTGGGGAACAACTAAGTACATTAGTTAGTGCGACGAGACGTGCAATTGCTAATGTTGCCAAGGCATATCCCCCCCTTCGCTGCCCCATTGGTTAGGGGTAATACTCAATGCAAGGGCAATCACGCCTCTCAACTACCCTGACTCATGAATCCCCTTTGATCCACCTACGGCTCACAGAACCGCACACATAGTATTCCAAGCCCTGCATAACTCCAAAATGTTAGACGAACATATTGCATGAACATCACATATCTACCATACCACCACTTAATACACTAACTCACCATGTAAAGCCTTTCACCCTAGCCCACAAAATAATCTATATATCTACTTTTAAACCAACCCTCACAAGTAGGACACATTCCAGGCTTAGGCTACGGTTCTTGTTTCTATAAATAAATAAAAAAGTCCATCTATTCTTTGATGTCTTGGTTATTTACTGAACGATTTATTGCTTGAACTACAGACATGTTTTCTACTGTTCATGTATTCTATACCTGCACTACAAAAATGAAGAATTAAAAAAAAAAAAAGTATCACAACTACTACTGTGCTACCTACACTGGGGGTGCTGTGGCGAATCTACTGACACCTTACCCTGGATTTTAAGCTGCAGGGAGACTACATCGACGCGTTGAGGCCTGTGGGTGACTAGGCAGGGGAAAGGCGGATGATTTCCCTGCTTACAAGTCTGCTGTGCAGAACAACTCTACTCATACCCGGGTCTTCACTGGACCCCCACAGCTACTTGTGTTACTGAGGATAGTCTTTCAAGGACCTGAACACAAGCAAGCTTTCCATGATGGCGGACAGGCCTTCTCAGGCGATTCAGAGCCTGATGCTACCTGGCGGAAATCTACATGTCCACCAGACATTCTCTGCTGAAGCTAGAGGCGATCTTTACTAGCTGCTGGGTTCGGCTGGAGATGCGATTGGCAGCTCCTTTACTTCAGCCTCGGGAAACTGACCAATGAAGGAATACTCAATGGCCCGGTGGGTGCCAACAAGATCCCTTGTGTAGAGTGTATTTCTGCAACATGTCTTGTTCCAGTGGTATAAATAGCATGAACTCAACAAATTGTCCTGTTTCACAATAACCCCTGTATCACAACTCAATTTTGAATTCTATGTGTCGTCTTGCTCAGAAATGCTATTTATATGCAGACATAAACTTGAATGAAAGGAATGAAATACCAAAATTAAGGTTTGGATCCTCTCTATATCAGGATCCAAACCAGGATCCAAACCTTAATTTTGGTATTTCATTCCTTTCATTCAAGTTTATGTCTGCAGTAACTATGTTTTACCACTTGTGTCCTCCCTAACCACAGGGTCTAAACTTCTCTCATCCTCACCTACCTGGACTAATTACTGATGCTATAAGAGGCCACACCTTGCTAAAGGAAGTTGCCTTTACATTAATTCAAGTTGTGGTTCTGAACGTGACATGAATTCTGATCCTGGCTCATACTCAGAAACCTGCTTTGTTTCCAGACGGCTCTTTTCCAAGAAGCTTGGTAACAAAACCTGATTTCCAATTTCCACCTGCTTTATTTCATATTGGACTTTATTATCTTTTTACCTTGTTCACATACCAACTTTACAACTACCGGAGTCAACTCAACCAACCTGCTTTATTCATACTGGACTTTGTTACCTTTTTACTTTTGTTGGAAGCCCCTTTTCCTCCAACCGGATTCAACACATTGGTATTTGGTTCTATCCTGAATAACACTGCTGCAATTATCTGATAACTACATTACTACCTGCAACCAAAAGACTCTGAACAACTAAATGTCTATCTAACCTGAATTCATTATACCTTCATATTCTGTTATATTATGTTTGCCTCTAACCTATAATTTTGCTTATAGGTTTTCCTTCTCTTGAATTACTTGTAAACCTCTCTTATAGCATTCCCTATCGTCTGATAACCTGCTTAGGGCATATTGGCTAAACCACTATTTCTATTTCATCTTCTTTCTCAATCTTGCCTATAATTCCGTTTACAGGTCCTTTCCTATTACTTACCTATAATTACGTTTATAGGTTCTACTTCTATCTTTTTTCTCTTTATCCTGTTACATACCTAGAATTCCGGTTATAGGTTCTTTCTCAATTTTCAAAGAAACAAGTCCTGCGCTCAAACTCCCATTACTCCTGGGCGGTGGCAACAACCATAGTACACATCAGCCCAAATACATATAGTAAAAACCAAAGAAAATAAAAGTTGCCTGTGCTCTTTCCACATCCCTATGTATGTTTAAACAAATGGAGGTTTTTAAGTTACCTCTAAGGAGTATTTCTGTCTCATTAGAGATATCTTTGCCAGAAGCTCAAGGAAGCAAGGCGAATGGTTACAGTTAGGACCCACCTAAGAAGTCTGCCTTGACGTGGCAGGTGGGCATACCCTCTCATGGCCATTTTGAGGTAACTGAAAACCTCCATTTGTTTAAAAATACATAGGGATGTGGAAAGAATGCAGGTAACTTATTTTCTTTGGTCTTTCTCAATTTTGCCTATAATTCCGTTTATAGGTTCTCATCCTAGCTATTTATTTATAACCTTCCGGGGCTTATTGCCTAAACCCTTTATTTTATAACCTTCTTTATTATTTATCTGTAATCTTGTTAATATATGTTCAGCTTTATCAATTTTGTCTATATTTCCTTTAAAGCTTGCTTCATTTATTATTTCAAGCTTAAAACATGTCTTACAATTCCAATAAAGAACCTAAACAATTATTGTGCCTACATCACTCCAAGTCAATTGCACTACCTCACAGATTCGCTGCATTGTCTATTCTATACGTTTTGAACCTCTCCTTCACTCCTCACATCGTGCTAATGGCCAAATACTCTAAAAAAAAAAAAACATAGCTCACATTCACTGGATGCAGTTGTCGCTCGTCCATGCATCAATCATCTCATGCCTTTACTACTGCAATCAGCTTCTCACAGGTCTTACGCACTCCCAGATTTCCCCACTACAATCTATAATAAATGCAGGAGCTAGGCTCATTGTCCTGCCCTCCTGCACCTCCCACTCCTAAGTGCTCTGGTAACTTTGACTGCCAATAAGAAATAGGGTGCAGTTTTAAAATTCTGGTCCTCACAAATCTCACTGCTTCTGTTCTACCTATCCTCACTAATACACAAGTATGTCCTATTTAGGTCCTCAAACTGTCAAAAAACTGCATCTCTCCTCTGTTCCTACTTGCACCTTCGACTCTCGCCTTTAAGACTTCTTTAGGGTTACACCATACCTATGGAACTTCCTTCCCTGCTTCATTAAACTCTCACCCAGTCTATATCTCTGTTCCTTAAAGGGACACCCCACTGCCTAAATGCAACATAAATCAAAATTACTGTTTAGTTGATATACCCCAAATTAAAACATGCACATATTTATTGTTTTTATTGGAGGTATATTTAAAATATGTTTGCAAAAGCTGCAGTTCTCTTTTCTGAAGTCTTTGCAAGCCCTCCCCTTCTAACCCTGCCAAGACTTCCTGTAGCTGTCCAATCACAGACTTCCCAATGCAGCTTAATGAGAAGTCTTGCAAGGTAGGTGCTTTGGGCAATTGTAGCCTCTTCAGTTTAGCTCCACCGAGCTAAACAAACCAGGAAGTAATAGAAACTGTTGCTCGCTTGAAAGTCAAGGCGGTGTAACAAAGTTAATTTATAAAAGTGTCAATTTCTACTGAAATCAGCACTTTTTGCATGATGGAAAAAAAAAAGACGGACTCTTCACACATAAATCACTTCAGCATCTAAAGTGTTTTAGGGGTCTGGAGTGTCCCTTTAACCCCTTAAGGACACATGACATGTGTGACATGTCATGATTCCATTTTATTCCAGAAGTTTGGTCCTTAAGGGGTTAAAGAAAAACAAGGCAAAGCAGAAAACACTAAAAACACACTATTTCAAGAAGCATATCAATTAACAACTTTCTCTCCCTACACCTAACTCAATTTGCTTGCTCTCCTAATACTTGTGTCATCTAAATACTAAGCCTTCACTGTAAACTCTTCTAGCAACCTACTTTTCCCTTACACGCACAACATATATACGCCCATACATGCAATACAGCTTACCCTTACCTCTTGTATCATTTTACCCAACTCATCTTACAATGTAAGCTGTTTGACTGGGCCCTCAGCACCTTCTGTTTCTGTACATGTGTGGCAAACTCCCCTTTTTACCTGAGTTTGCCACGAGCTCCTGGAGGAGCCTGCTTGCCAGCCTCCTGCCCACAGACTATGGACCCTGTGAAAAATAATGTAAAAAGTCTCTGGTCGTGCAATTGGGATTATGTGGTTCGTTTACCAAACAACCACACAAACAGAGACCACCCTGGAGCTTGTTAACACCTATTAACAACTTAGAATGTTTCTCACCGCAGTGTTCTAATTGTTCATCTGGGTGGCCGCACTTCATATAAGCAACCACGAGGTGGCGGCCATCTTGTTCGCATGAATGCAGGCAGCGGTGTTTGGGCATGAATCTCCTGGAACTAAAATCGACTACAGAAACTCCTGAACACTGCTGGACTTCCATCATCGCTTGCGTTTGGTTTTTATACCAGTTAGAAGAGCACTGTTCGGTGGGATCATTCGTCTGGATGAAGGGAACAAGCTCCAGGGTATGACTATTAACTCTGTTCGGTAGTTTGTTCGTTTTCAAACTACCGAACTAGACCGACCTGATTCTCTGGAAATGTTTTGGGAATGGGGCCATGCTTGCGGTCGGTCAAATAAAGGACTCCCATGGAATTTCTGAACCCCTGCTCTGATCTGGGTGATATTTGGATATGTTGTTCACCCAGAACAGGGCTATCAGGGGATGTGACTTTTATGGGGATATGCAGAGGGGAGGGATTGTTTTCCTTGTGTGGGAGTGCCTTACATTGTAAATGTGTTATTGGTTTGGAAGTTTGTATCCCTGTGCCCAACAAAAAGGCCAGTGAGCCTCCATTAAAATGGTATTCCAGCTTACACTACAAAACCGTGTGTCGTCCTATTATTGGAGGGAAAGACGATTTACTCCTGTGTCTGCTGTTCCATATTGCAGGGGATTCAACTGGGAAAGTCCTTGTAAGGACTAGAGATAATTCCCCATTCGACTCCAGGAAGGAGCGGTTCCAGAGCCTCAGTCAAGCCACAGGGACTGAGGGCAAGAGTGCTGAGGTTTGTCCCTTGTTCCAGCTAGGAAGCGGTCCTTGGCAAAGGTACCCAGCCAGGAGTACAGGGAGCTCCGCTACAACATGCAACTTGTCTTGTTGCAACTACTTTGCTGTTAGCCCACCTACTGCACAGCGCTACAGAATTTGTTACTAAATTTGCAAACAAATTTCAATCACAACATCATTAAATACATTTAGGTTGGCATTGTGGTTTTCCAGTTATTAAAAAATAAATACAAATAAAATATTTTTCTGTTTTAAATCAAACATCTGATAAGATTAAAGGGCGAATTGTCAGGTATACAAATTGAATACAAAATTTAAGGCCACAGTAGCAGAACTGGAAATATTCTCCAAGTCAGCTATGCTTCCAGTTCTGATATTTTGGCCTTACATTTGAAATTCACTTTGAATTCCTGACAATTCTCACTTTAGTGAATAACCCTGTATATACATGAGAGCAGTCAGACTACCTAGCATAGGATTAGTGGGCATGCACCTAAATCAATATAGGCAAATGTCCTGGAAACCTTTCTTCCAGCTGCCAGCAGGTGAGGTGTGGAAGAAGAACCCCTCTAGTCCAATGATAAAGTTCAAGTACCCTTAGTATGCACAGACGTTCAGGTTCTAATAAAACCATAAACCGCTAACCTGCTATGTCATAAATAGGACCAATGTAGGCCAATTCTCAGGTTCAAATTAGTTAAACCCCCTTTATGTATAGGATTCCAACCACCAATAAACATTTACCTTCCAACTGTCTCTAAAAAGATCTTTCCTTGGCCCATTTAGTTAAAAACAGACACTATAGGTTCTAGACCACTTTATCACAATGTGCCATGTCCCTGTCTGTTTAACCCTGCAATATAAAACATTGCCCGTTTCATTGCAGGGTTTAAATGCCCCTAGTAGCGCTTCCTCCAAAATAGCCAAGTAAAATGCAACGGCTATAAGATTGGTGCAGAACAGAGTTCTGCCACGCGTGCACACAAGCCTGCCAATGCTTTCCTATGGCAAAACATTGGAATAACTGAGATCATCAGTCTTGAAGATCTAACCCATGGAGATAGGAAAATAGCATGGAGAATGTGAGGGAGAAAAGGTATGGGAATCTCCTTTTTTTCTCTGGATGAGGGGCTGGGCACATAAAATGCTAACAAGGCATTTTTGTATCCTTAATGCTATAGTTTCTTTACAAACAAAAAGCTATTATGCAGTGCCACAATAACCTAAACTAGACTGTTGTTGCATAACGCTGTTTCAAGTGAATTTTGGCATCCTAGTACATAATGTCTACTTTTAAAGGTAATCAGACACTTCCCCGCAAACCACCTCATTATAACAATGACGGACAATGGAAACATCTAGTTGTAGGATAAAGAGTTGTGGATTTCTACATTTAATTTTATTTTTCTCACCTTTTTATACTACTAAAATCCTTGTGAGAGCTCCCTTTTAACTATTAAAAGTCAGAAAAACTCTTTAAACTTACCTGCAACCCCCACCTGGTGTGTGGCATATCCAGGTAGGTTGCTTGGTCCATCTTTGAGCCAAAGAGTAAGTGTAGATGTGTCATGTTCTGCATGGTGGAATGTGAACCCTTCAGAAGAAGCAGAGGTAATCAGATTGCTAAGCATGATGGGAACATGTAGCCACACTGCAATTCTGCCATCTTTCTGCCATTCTTCGATAGACTCTAAAATAGGTGGAAAATACCATAAATTTGTTTGCACATAATGAATGATTAGGTTTAGCAGTTAATATTGAGTACCACATTTTGAAAGCAGAGAAAGGCTAATGCGAGAAGAAAAATTAAAGCAGGTGGATATAGCATATACATTGCACTGTAAAACTCAAGGCAATGGATTAAATCAGAGTTAAATATTACCACATGAGTCTATTATCGGAGTTACTCAGAAGTGAACATAACTAAAAGAATAAAAAAAACTAAATAAATGATTAGGATGCAATCAAGAACACATGTAGATACTTATTTGAAACACTATTTCATGGCATCCAATGTAATACAAAAAGAAAAAAAATGGAGTTACACTGTATATTATATACTGATCACATAACAATTAATCTGTAAGTATTGCTAAATAGGTAGACAACCAACCCATCAATTTTAAACTCAGTGATATTTGCATATCACCTAAATAGTTATTTTCCTCAAGTGCAATAACATATCACATAGACATACTCCAGGGATGACTATTTTACAGTAGTGATATAAATATTAGGAACTTTCTTTAATGTGACAAAATAAAAGTGCAATCTCTTCTTAACCCCTTAAGGACACAAGCCATTTTTGCATTTTTTGCTGTTTGTGTTCAAACGCAATTTGCATCTCTGTTATTTATTGCACCAACACATATTATATACAGTTTTTTAGAGGGCAAACAGGGATTTAATTTGATGTCACATATACATAGAACATTCTCATTAATTAAAAAAAAAAAAGACAAAAAAGGGAAAAAAATTTAAAAAATTCCACCGTTTTGGCAATAATAGCTTGTGCATAATATGTCCAGCTTAGAAAAAGTAATTCAAAATAAATTCATTTATGTGTCTTGATTTATAGATTACATAATATGTGTAGGATTTCAGCTTATTTTTAAAGTTACAAGACACAAAATACAAGGACTAAAATAAAATTTCAATATGAAACAATTTTAGAAGTTGGTATGTTTGTTTTGTAGGTTTAGTAGCCATCATAGAAAACAAAATTGCCACACAAAAATATATATATTTTTTTTATAAAGTAGATATCACAGGCTATTTACCTAAGGTTATCTTGACAGTTTTAACATAGCCATTTCATGGCCAATCTCTGCTTAATATTGGAGTAAAATTGTGTTTTTTCTCTATTTTGGCTAATACACAGATATCAAGGTTTTTGTAATGTGTATTTCATAAAGCTGGTGTATGCTATTCCTGTACAGAACCCCATATTGTGTTCAGCTACATCTGCTGAGTATAACGATACCCCCATTGTACGCCTTTGGAACTATTCTGTGAATCTACAATGCCATATAAGAGACAAGGCTATTTCAGTTTCTATAGTTAGAATTTTCAAAGATGGATTTGATAGCCTATGTCTCATGGAATATTATAGCAGTTTGACTGTTCAAATAACCCCACAAAAGGCTTTCATATGAAAGCAGACACCCCAGGGTATCTTACATGGCGTATAGTGTGCCTTAACTTGTTACCATTTTTTCACCAATTTATGCCAATGTTTGTTGTGAAAGGACAAATAATTGCAGTTTTACATACATGTTGCATTTTTGCTGAGTATTTCATACACTTGGTATGTGCCACGGTCATAAAATTCCCCAAATTATGCTCAGTTACATCCTGAGTAAACAATATGCCCAATGTATGACCTAGACCAGTGATGGCGAACCTATGGCACGCGTGCCACAGGTGGCACGCCGGGCCCTTTCTGGGGGCACGCGGCCACAGGTTCACCATCAATGCAGAGAAGGCGCCTGCCTGCCCGAAACGGCAGGCGCCTACTCTGCTTCCGGGTCGGGAGGCAGGGGGAGGGCTCCAGGAAGCAGCTCCCCTGTCCTCCCGCGCGATGCTGTGTGGAGCGTTGCCGCGCGTTACCATGGCAACGCTCCACACAGCATTGCGCGAGAGGACAGGGGAGCTGCTTCCTGGAGCCCTCCCCCTGCAGTGCTTACCACCACCGGACCACCAGGGATCGCTGTGTCCCCCCCCCACCCCCCTTCATTAAAGGTAAGAAGGAGGAGGGGGGGGGTATACTGACACACAGCACCCTTACCCCCCCCCCAGAAGTATCCCCTACCCTCCCCAGCAGTACCCCTAACCCCCCAACAGTACCCCTAACCCTCCCCAGCAGTACCCCTAACCCTCCAACAGTACCCCTAACCCTCCCCAGCAGTAACCCCTAACCCTCCCCAGCAGTAACCCCTACCCTCCCCAGCAGTAATCCCTAACCCTCCCCCAGCAGTACCCCTACCCTCCCAGCAGTAACCCCTAACCTCCAACAGTACCCCTAACCTCCCCAGCAGTAACCCCTAACCCTCCAACAGTACCCCCCCCTCCACAGCAGTACCCCTAACCTCCAACAGTACCCCTAACCCTCCCCAGCAGTAACCCCCCTAACTCTCCCCAGCAGTAACCCCTACCCTCCCCCAGCAGTAAACCCCTAACCCCCAGCAGTACCCCTACCTCCCCAGTAGTAACTCCCTACCCTCCCCAGCAGGTCCCCCTACCCCAGCAGTAACCCCTACCCCCTCCCAGCACCTCTACCCCCAGCAGTAACCCCCACCCTCCCCAGCAGTACCCCTACCCCCCACATTAGTACCCCTACCCCCACCCCCCAGTAGTATCCCCCCCCACCCCCAGCAGTAACCCCTAACCCCCATACACAGTATCTTCTACCCCCTCACACCCCCTACCCCCACACACACAGTACCCCTACCCTCCCAGCAGTACCCCTACTTCCACACACACAGTACCCTCTACCCCACAGGGTACCCCAACCCTCCCAGCAGCAGTACCCCTACCCCCTACACAGTACCCTACCCCCACACACAGTACACCTACCCTCCCCAGCAGTACCCCTACCCCCCCCGCAGCACCCTTACACATATAGCACACACACACACAGCACCCCCCCCCACACACACAGCACCCCTCACATACAACACACACACGCACCCCCCACCTCAATGCAGTATGAGTGTATTCAGCAGTGTGTGTGTGTGCGTGCATTCAGCAGACTGTGTGTGTGTATTCAGCAGTCTGTGTGTGTGTGTATTCATCAGTCTTGTGTGTGTGTATTCAGCAGACTGTGTGTATGTATTGCATTTGTTGGAGATACTAATAAATATAAGCTTAATTTTATCTATTTATATCATTATTTAAAATTTGTATCATTGAACTCTCTGTGTTCTTTTAAAACAAAAGTTATTAGTTCGGACAACAGTACGAGTTGTTTTTTTCTAAACTTAAACCTCAGTATTTCGGTTTAATTGCCGTGTTGGCACTTTAAGGAGAAAAATGTTGGCATGTATTGCGGTTTGGGCACTCGGGCTCAAAAAGGTTCGCCATCACTGACCTAGACACTATTTTATGAAGTTACAGTGCTGTAAAAGAGACGTGACAAGTTCAGGTTTTTAAGTGTGAATTTTCATGGAGGGTTTTGATGCGTCCGTGTCCCAATATGGACCACTTTAGCAGGCTACACATTTGAGACACAGCCATACCAGTTTTTTTCTAACTTTGAATTTTTACGCTATGTCCATGTCCCATTTTGGAGTATTTTAGAAGGCTATATATTCCAACTACACCATAAAGACATACCATTTCTTAAAGAAGACATCCCAGGGTATTTCAAAAGGCATATTTTGGAAACTTAGCGTAGGATCATTTTTCCACTAGCTTGTACCAAGTGTAGTGGTAATAAGCATTTTTATCAGCCTTTTTGACACACAAAGCGAGTTTGAACATCATCTTTTGCAATCCTCATGTGTGCTACGGCTGTATAATACTTCATATGTTGCTCAGCTATGTCGTCTGAGTACAACAGTACCCCCAGGTATATGTGAACATTGAAGGGGCACATTTGAGACGCAGCCATTCAATGTTTTTCTAACTTTGAAGTTTTACGCTGTGTCCACATACCAATTTGGAGTGGTTTAGCTGGTTTGTTATTCAAACTACTCCACAAACACATACAATTTTTTTTTTTTTTTTTTTTTTAAAGAATACACCCTGGGGTATTTCAAAAAGCATATTTTGAACCTTAGCATGGGATCATTTTTCCGCTAGTTTGTTCCAGGTGTAGTGATAATGAGCATTTTTTGAACATAATTTTTTTTACTCTTTTAAAACTTTTTTACACTTAAAATTTTTAGAAACATTTTTTACCATTAACTCCTAAGTAGCAGTAAGCAGCACTAACAGTAAATTCCCCAATTTCCCATTACTCCCACCCACCACAGCTAGCAAAGTATATAATTTTAAAATATTTACATTAATGAAATAAATTGAGGGTTAAAAAATAGATAAAAGATAACCCTCAGGGGTTAAAAAAAAAATCAGATCACAGTACAATACTGTGATCTGTATTTTGATCACTGTAAGCAGCGATTAACTGACAGGGAAGGGGTTAATTTTTATTAGGACTGGGTAAACGGGGTGGTACTTTTATAAAATGTTAAACATTTTTTAAAACTTTTAAAAAAACTTTTTTTTTTTATGTTAACCCCTAGCTAGTGTAACACCAAATTCCCCAATAACTTCCCACCACCCCAGCTAGTTAAATATATAATTTTAAATCAGATGGCAGTAAAATGTAGTCCCTGCCAATTAATCATTGTAGTCCGTGATCAATTGGCATGGAAGGGGTTAATTTTAATTACGCACGGGAAAGGGGGCAGCACAGGGTGAGGGGGTGGTGAGAAGGTGCTGAGGGGGCAGCACAGGGTGAGGGGGTAGTGAGGTGCTGAGGGGGCACAGAGAGGGGCAGCACACAGGATGCAAAGGCACAGGGTGAGGGGGGAGCAGTGAGGTGCTGATGGGGCAAGCACAGGGTGTGAGGGGTAGTGAGGTGCTGATGGGGCAGCCAGGGTGAGGGGTAGTGAGGTGCTGATGGAGCAGCACAGGGTGAGGTGGAGGTGAGGTGCTGATGGGGCAGCACAGGGTGAGGGGTAGTGAGCTGATGGGGCACAGGGTGAGGAGGTAGCGAGGGCAGCACGGGGTGAGGGGGTAGTGAGGGGGCAGCACAGGGTGAGGGGGTAGTGAGGGGGCAGCACAGGGTGGGAGGTAGCGAGGGGCAGCACGGGGTGAGGGGCAGTGAGGGGCAGTACAGGGTGAGGGGGGTAGTGAGGGGCAAGGCACAGGTGAGGAGGTAGCGAGGGGGCAGCACAGGGGTGAGGGGTAGTGAGGGGGGCAGCACAGGGTGAGAGGGGTAGTGAGGGGGCAGCACAGGGTGAGGAGGTAGCGAGGGGCAGCACGGGGTGAGGGTGAGGAGAAGGTGCTGAGGGAGCAGCACAGGGTGAGGGGGTAGTGAGGGGGCAGCACGGGGTGAGGGGGTGCTGAGGGGGCAGTGATGGGGCCGCACAGGGTGAGGGGGCAGTGAGGTGCTGAGGGGGCCGCACAGGGTGAGGTGCTGCTGAGGGGGTGCCAGGCAGCTTTCCCATGCTATGCCGGGTAACACTTGCCGTGCAGCCAGCCCTTGAAGCTGGACTCGTCCAGGGTGTGATTGGGGAGCAGGCGGACTGTGACCCCTCCGAACCGATCTATGATGCCCTGGGGCCAGGGAGAATCACTGAGCGCAGACCGGCTGGACCCAGAGGAGAGAGACCGGCCTCTCACTGCCGGTAGCCGAGCCCAATACCGCCAGCAGCAGAGCCGCAGCATTGTCCGCCAGGTTACAGCCGATCTCCCTAACCCCATGCTGCGCGTGCGCGGTGCCCGTGTGTTACGGTGGGGGGGCAGGCTCCGCGCATGCGCAGTGCGGGTAGGGAGATCGGATGGAGATTCACTTTGCGAGCGCTCCCTGCCTGATGGTTGCGCGCCCCCCCCCCCCAGCTGTCACGTCACTGCCGGTCCGGCCGCGTCACCGGAAGTGACGATGGTAGGGTTTTTTCACGGTGTAGGGGAATTTGATAGAACTCCCCGCGCTGCATGTGATCCGCTGGGCAGCATGTCCGCCTCCAAGAGAAGGAGCAAAGGCAGAGCCCAGCATGGCTCTCCCTGCCCGGAACCAGGAGCCGCCGGCAGCCCGGGGGTCTTTAAGGTCTCCGACTTCTTAGATAAAGGTACCCGAGCTCAGTGTGCACAGGAAGACCCCCTGCTACTGACACAGCGAGCACTGCCCACACTGACTGATGGGAGAGCTGCCCGCCTGGACTGGGCACCGTGTCACCAATTCAGGGTGCGGAGCTGCCATGCTGGGTTGGCTGAGGTGTTTTATTAAAGGGTTATTGCAGCCACCATGACCACTTCATGGACTTGAAGTGGTGATGGTGGTAGGAGTCTGTATGTGCAGTGTATCAGCTTGAATCACCACATACTGAGTTATTTTTTTACCGTCCACCAGGGCTAGGGGCAACCCCAGCACACACGATTTAGGTAGTACAGTGCACTGTAGCGGATTGCCTAATGTCAATTCCGTACATATTTTGCGTCTGTCGTCAGCGAACACCGCTTGCTGGCCGACTGATGCGATCTTCTCTCTTGCCGGCTTAGCGCCTGTAAGGGGAAGATAGTTTACCACTCGCTCTGCTAATTGTATAAGCGTTTAAAAAAAAAAAAAAAAAATGAAAATCCCCTTCTTTTCTTTGACCCCCTTCTTCCTCTTCTCGCTGGCTCAGATTGCACGCATGCACTTTGAGCTGGCAAAATGGTCAAATAACAGGCTTCCATATGTGAGATGTTTAATGAGCATTAAAAACTGGTTTGAAAGTGGTTTATTTTGTCTTGTAACAGAAAAGATGGAGAAAAATAGTTGTATATAGGTGGAATCACCTTTTTATATGTACATGGAAAACAGGCACAAACGTGAATGCATCCGTTTTTATACATTCCCCCCCAAAGTTTCTATTACTCCTCCTTTCTCTATGCTGACTGACCGCTACAAATTACAGCTTAGAATCTTAATTGACAGGTAGTCCATATGGAGGCATTCAATTATGTAGAGGTAAATTCAGTGGTGTGCTATTTTTCAGACAGTAAAAACATATTGGGTAAATATAGCGGATAACCAAACATAATGATTGTGCATCTCTCAGCATGTCGTTTGGGAGAGGTCAGGAAGATCTCCATCAGAACTACAACTGCCATGAGCCTGTACTATCCGTACTGTTCATATCATATGGCTGGTAAAATATGATAGTTGTACCTCTACAGAAGCTATACTTTTTGACTATCTCCTGTAAATGATTGGTGAACTAATATTGGCATGTGATAAAAATGTACCTGTCATCCACACATTTTACTGATGTTAGGTCCACCTTAAAATGGTTCAGAAATAATGTTAAGCAATTGTCATTCATTACTTCATGTTTTGAATTGAGCATTTAAAGATCAACAAAGTAAATGTTCACTGCACCCCTCAATAACTACGGGATCCCCCCAGCAGTTTGTTTTAAAATAACGTCCTAGGAGTTTCTGCAAAACTAATTTTTGTGTCATTTTTATACATTTTTAGAATAAGAGAATATAAATCATACCTAAAGATTCATGGGGTGTGGTCATTATGTGTATATATAACAAATAAAAAGATGTTATTTTTTCTCTAATGCGACCAGGGTTTTGTATATGTTAAAGAACCACTATAGTGTCAGGAAAACAAACTAATTTTCCTGGCACTATATAATCCTTTGGTACCCCCCACCCTCAGGGCCCCCCTCCTGCTGGGCTGAAGGTGTTAAAACCCCTTCAGCCACTTACCTTTATCCAGCCCCGGGCTCCCTCGGCGCTGGTGACCTCTTCTCCCTCTCAAAGTCAGCTCCCGAGTTGAGCCGAATGCGTGGCCAGAGCCGCGCACGCATTAAAAACGCTCATAGGAAAGCATTTCTCAATGCTTTCCTCTGGACATTCTGCGTGCTCAATGCGATTTTCTCATTGACCGTGGGGGAAGCACCTCTAGCGGCTGTCAGTAAGACAGCCACTAGAGGCTGGATTAACCCTGCAACTGCTATGTTTACATCTGAAGGGTTAAAACCTGGCGGACCAGAGCTGAAGTTGTCTAGGTGCCTATAGTGGTCCTTTAATGTTAAAATGATTGATTTACCTTAAATGCCACACTGGAGGACAATATTTTGCTAAATCTACTTCTTAAAGGAACTCTCCAGGCACCACAACAACTTTATTGAAATACTGAATATACTTGAGTATAAGTCGACCTGAATATAAGTCGAGACCCCCAATTTTACCCCAAAAAACTGGGAAAACTTATTGACCCGAGTATAAGACTAGGGTGGGAAATGCAGCAGCTACTGGTAAATTTCTAAATAAAATTAGATCCCCCAAAAATATTAATTGAATATTTATTTACAGTGTGTGTGTGTATGAATGCAGAGTGTGTGTGTGATGCAGAGCCTTGGTGGGGGGTGGGCATTTTTATTATTTTTTTAAAATTATTATTCTTTTTTTAATATTTTTTTTTGTTATATTATTATTTTTATTTATTTATTTTTTTATTATTTTATTATTATTTAAATTTGTATTTATTTTTATTCGTTCCCCCTGCTTGTTAGCTGGCCAGGGAGGGGGGCTCTCATTCCCTCGTGGTCCAGTGGATGGGCTGTGTAGGAGGGGGGCTGGCAGAGAGCTGTAACTTACCTTTCCTGCAGCCCCTGTCAACTCCCTTCTCTCTCCTCCGTTCCGGTCAGCTCCCCTGTCATCTCCATTGTAAGCCCGGCAGTCCTTGTCTGTATTATGGCAATGTAAGTTTCCATAATACAGACATTGACTCGAGTATAAGTCGAGTAGGGGTTTTTCAGCACAAAAAATGTGCTGAAAAACTTGACTTATACTCGAATATATACTGTAGCTTATTTCCCTTTGGGATTAAATTGCTCACAAACAATTTAACACCAAAGTTTTCTCTCTAGCAATTCAGCTATAGGATGTATGGACTGCTGACAGACAGGGGCACCACTGATTAAAGTGTTCAGCTGAGTTTAGAGTGGTCAGTCAATAGCTCCCCATTCATATTTAAAAAAAAAAAAAAAAAAAAGGTACCTAAATTTAAATGTAACGCTACTGATTGTGCTTCCTCTAGTTGAATTTCAGACACCAGATGTCAATAGGGAGCCATTTTTGGGGTAAAACCATTTATGGGCGGTTTAACCCCTAGAAATATGCAAGCGCCAGGGACCTCTTGGGACCATAACTGCGTCATTTTGGTGAAGTTGTTGTAGTGCCCTTTGTGTTCCTTTCATCTCAATCATATAATTGTAAAAATTACAATTGTTGGGAAGTATTCAAGGAATACAAAGCCCCTTGTAATATTCGATAACATTACAAAGGTAATGTTAGATACATTTAGAATTCTTTTTTTGTGGTAATCACTTCATTTAATAGTTATTTGGCTATTCTGGAAGTTTATTTTTAATGTTTGTGTAATAAAACATGCTATGAATTAACTGATAATTTTTGGTGTGTTTTTTTTTCTTATTGCTTATAATCTCTTCTGTCTTGATGTAAACATATAAAATCCATAGGTAATTTATAGGGAAACCCATTTGTTAAAGGGACACTATTAGTCACCAGAACAACTACCGGTTATTGTATTTGTTCTGGTGAGTAGAATCATTCCCTTCAGGCTTTTTGCAGTAAACATGGTCTTTTCAGAGAAAATGCAGTGTTTGCATCACAGCTTAGTGATAATTCCACTAGCCACTCCTCAGATTGCTGCTAGAGGTGCTTCCTGTGGCAATGCTGTACAGTGTGCAGCACTGCCATTCGTTTCTCCACCCTCTTCATGGAGACACTGAACTTTCCTCAAAGAGATGCATTGATTCAATGCATCTCTATGAGGAGATGCTGATTGGCCAGGGCTATGTTTGAATCATGCTGGCTCTGCCCCTGATCTGCCTCATTGACCGCTTTAGCCAATCCTATGTGATATCTATGTGATTTGCTCAGAGAATCACTTCTGATGATGTTAGCCAAGCAGGCAAATCAGGGGCAGACGCAGCAGCTGCAGACTTGAATACAAGTAAGATTTTACTATATATAGGGAGGCAGGGGGTGGCAGGGAAGCCAAATGCTGGTTTTAACATTATAGGGCCAGGAATACATGTTTGTGTTCCTGACCCTATAGTGTTCCTTTAAAATGCCCACTTTTCTACTTTGAGAGAGTTGACTTCAAAAGAATCCAGTCATCATTGTGGTCCTTTTGTAAAGATTTTTTTTTTTTGCCTACAGTTCTAAGTCTCTCTTATTAAGTACAGAAGAGGTGACATGTTTACATTTAAAGGCATGTAATTTAGTAAAGTGGGCAAATTCAGTTTGCATTTGTGCCATGGCTAATTTTTTAAATTTTTTTATTATTCTTTATTTTTCGTTTGCCGTCATAAATTTTACAGTTGTGACAGTACAGAATTTATACAGTACTCATACATCACATGTTGTAGTCATGGTTTTTAACATTCGGCTTTAATTAACATGGCTGTTGATGTTGTATGCGGACCCTGTTGCCATCCTGGACAGCATGTAGTCTGACGACAATGGTTTATGTAGTAAAGGAGGTAAAACTATAAACAGTAACATATAGAAATTCGGTTCAGATGCTTAGTACGTTTTTGTCATTTGTCACCGGCCCCCGAGAGGGGGACGAAGAGAGGGAAAGGAGAGCAGAAAAGGAGGGGGTCGGCCGTTGCCTGAGTGCTGTTACAGCCAGCTTATGTACACCCCTCCAAGAGCAATCGCCCATTGACCACTGGGTCGAGGTTGGCGTCAGCCTCGCGATGGTTATTAAGGTT